TTCAAAATTCATACTGAGCGAGATTCATCGGAGCACATAGCGTTAACCTATGCCTTCATTTATGTTTTGTCAAGGGCAATATGACTTCCTATTTCCCTTTTGGTTGTAGCATGAGATACCATACTTGTTTAAACATGTGTCTTAGTAGCCGCCAGACTAAGGGAGGCTTTGAGACGGAATTACTCGGATCAAATGCATCGTGGAGCCACAAAGTTTTATATTTGGGGTTTAGAAGAGAGGTCATTGCTGCGATATCAACAAGCGCTTGGGCCTCAAAGAACATTCCATCCTTCAATGCAATATGTCTGTCTTCATAGGTGTGCTTGTAAAGACTGGATGAGATAAATGAGACCGGCAACGTTGGCAACATTTGTAATTTTCCTAGATTACATCAAAATGAACTCTTCCATCGCATTTGCAAGCTTTCTCAATCACAATATCGAGTTCAGGCATGAGGAACAGAATTCGCAGTTGCTGGTATGCCGACATACACTGCTTTCATCACTGCTGCCAACAATTTGAGCGTTTTCTCTGCTGCTATTCCAAGATGGTATATGTAAACGCATTGGTATATGTAAACGCATATTTCGAGGGTTACAAGTGTGCCTCAAATTTATGCAAACAAGCAAGACTAAGAGAAACAGATCCAAGCCTTCTGATCCCTACTTTGCTACATCGCACTCTCAAAGCATACATCGATCACTTTACGCTCGTGCCCATATTAGCACTTTCTTCGGTTCTTAGGAAGGAGTCCCGTCCCTCATTCATCCTTCCAGCATAGAACGGAACGACAACTTTGGCTTGTGAATCTCACACCATTACCATGATAATGCGATAGGATGCCAGCGGTTCTCAATTTCGTAGGCGAGTGAGGATACTCTATCTGCTACAAGTAGACTCCTGGAAAATGATGAAGCAAGTGGTCATGTGACCAGCTTATGTCATACCAGCCACTATATAAGCCAGTTCTCCTTCAGAGTTCTGTCAAATAATTCATCACCTTATTAATATATTCTTTTATATCTTCAGCATCAATATCACCTTGCTGTCTCAGAAAATGGCAAAGTAATCTATGTTTGTAGTGAATGTAATATAGATTCGCTTTTCTCGGCTAAATTCAGGGGTTAGTGGGGCCCTAACTGCCAGGAACATATTTGGTTTCTAATAAGCAAGTGACCGTCGCTTTGGTTAGCGGAGTAGTGCAGTTGTTGCGGCGCAGAGTACCATTGCACGAGTTGTCAAATCCAACCTCGCTAACTAAACAAATGCCAAAAATTAAGTCCTCGTGCCTAACCCGCACTGAGTAGTCCAGAGATCAAGGATCTGCCAGGAACAGTGAAAATGCGCTTAAGATATCCTCTGCGGCACCCCACCCTGCGCGTAGGTGGTGATAGTTGCATGCGTAACATTCCACTTCTACCTGGTGTGTGTGTATATTTGGAGCCGGATTGGCACAGCATCTGCTTTATAGCAGCATGCACCCGAGGGGATTCCCGCGTCCCGCAGGCACTGATCAAGGTCAAGCTAAGCTGTATTCGTGGTTGTTACAGAATCTTGGGTTCTATTGGTCAGTGGCGGCTGTAGATTAAGCCATCCTGAAGTTAAGCTGGCTTCAGGTGTTCGTCTAATCAGTTCCGTTCGCGTAACCACGTTGCTATGAGGTGGGTATACGGTGGTGTCTACTCGGATCCTAATGTGAATGTATCAACCAGTCAGGTCACAAATGCTAGTCATTACCATACTATTCAGAACAATCACTTCTAGTTTCACCCTTGTACAGCGTGGAAGAATAAGCCATCTACGGTGTAGGTGTTCGTGCATGTAATAGGCGCCTACTGCTCTATCTAATAGATCCGCTCTAGCTGGACAGTCGAACGCCCTACGGAGACGGGTCACCAGTACTTCCTATCTCATAAGGGTACTTGGAGGCCAGGGTAAACGCGCTCCAACAAACAGGGTTCAAACCCAAGAACTTTTTCCAACTTTTTTTTCTCACTGGCTATCTTTTTAAGGTTAATCTAGTACCGGTGCACGCAAAAGGTGAGCAAAATGAAGATCTACGTGCTTAAGAACTGCTTCCAACTTCCAAGTTGGTAGAACCCAGTGGGAGCGGTTGTATATACCTTATAGACACCCGGGAGTATATAAGGTATAAACTTTTTGTATGCGCTCGGTTGTCTATACCCTATCGACAATTGTTTATACCTTATATACACCCGGTTGTATATAAATAGTTACTAAAATATCCGCGTTTATATATAAATTACAACTTTTTTCTACGTAGTTTTATACTTATTTCTACACTTATTTCTACACTTTTACAGCTCGAATCACTTACTAAAATCACGTATATACAAGGGACAGAGAGAATAAAAGGGGCAGTTAGGCGAGGGGGGGGTAGATAAAAGGGGGGTAGATAAAAGGGGTTAGACAAAAGGAGGGTTAAAGGTAGAGGGACAGTAGAAACGACAAGTACACTTACAGGTACGGACAGTCGGAACGACCAAGTACACTTCTAGGTAGGGACAGTAGGAGCAAAGAGAGGGGGCGGGGGAAGGGTAGTAATATGTAGGCAGTACTCGGTAGTACTCGGAAGTACGTGCGTAGTAGGATCTATATACCTAAAACTATGATAAAAGTCTATTCCTAGCTACCGGACCGGTAAAAGTACTTCAAGAAATCGAGAGAACTTGTCTTATACTTAATAAAAAAAGTCTTATAGAGAATACTATAGGGATAAATAAAAGACTATTAGAAACTAATAGAACCTTTTATAAAAAAAGATTTTTTTAAAAAAACTTCTCTCTAAATAATCGGTTATATGTAAGGTATAGAGACACCCGCTCCTACTAGGGTAAGCGAAGCGATTTTATAGGGCGTAAGAGAATTATAGATTCTTAATAAAACAAAATAAATTTTAGGTTTATAGGCTTAGGAGGGTGTTTATTTAGGTATTCTTGTGACAGACGTGCTTCAGGTAGAACTCAGAACAATTAACACTCTATTCTTAGGACAAAAGACGAGGAAAGAAGGAGAGCTCTAGTGAGCTGGGAACTAAATACAGGTCGTGCGCGCTAGCGCCTCGCTAAGCGAGCATGTGACATCCAGCCCTCGTGACCATAACCGTCACAATTCTACTTAATTAAAGGGAGTTTTAGAAATATCGATTTTTTTAAATTTTTGATATTCTATAAAATTATTAGTTGTATATAAGGTATAGACTAGGTGTATATAAGGTATAGACCGGGAGTATATAAGGTATAAAACTTTCTGCTCCCTCTGGGGAACGAAGCCTTGCGTGCTTGAAAGGTTGGTACACAGCTAAGTAACTACTCACGACCCCTGCGGCAGAGTGCGCCCGTGTGATTAATGAGCCTTTTTACATAGAAGATGATGCCCACTTTTTCTAGGAGCGCCTTGCCATTTGTTCTATCTGATACATGCGAGCTATCGCGAGATGCGAAATGCTGAGGGCCAGATCAGATTCAAGGGTTCTGAATTTTCAAATTCCTCGAAAATTCACCTAGGAAAGACAGTCGCTGTATGGGTTCTAATTTCCGAGTTCTCCCGAGTTAATCTTTAAGGAGTGGATTACAAAAGCCTATATTCACCTGAGTAATCAGTACTCAAGTGTCGACCATACAAGTCGATGTTACAAGATTTTCAACTTCTTAGCAATAATCCTACTTGTACCTTTCTCTAAATCAGCTTGAGAGGTTAAATGGATAGTGTAAAGGGATAGGATGTATCAAACAGAGCATTGTGCTCTACAGTTATGGAACCCGAAATCGAGGGCTTTACAGCCTTGATCAGATGTGTTGATGTGCTAGGACGGACTTTGTGTTAGCAAAATCCAAATTAGGACTGTGTCAAAGATTTTTACTATTCACTTACTTCCTACATGTACATTGATTTACAAATTGAAGCAGTAAATTCAAGTCAATCCTGGTTGGTACATAGTTACAATTACGTCAAATACTAAAAGGATCATCAAACAAAGTAATCAAAGGTATCTTGAAAGAATCAACACTAACAGAATTGTGATCTATCAAATTTATGTCCCCTTTTCCTTTCATCCTAAGCGCCTCGTCAAAGTGCCGGTTTTTACTCTAGGTACGTGTCCAGTCTAGAAACTACCGTCTAAATTGTTCTAGAGAAACCTCTACGATTACACCAATTATTCGAACTATTCATAATACCTGGCCTTATATAATCTTTTATCAACTCAAAAGAAAGTGATGTAATAAGAAAACTGGGATAATAGCACCAGGACTTGTCTAGTGATTCCTTTTGGTGTAAACAGAGTAGTAATCTCTAACAGCGTTAGGAATGAGCAGAGTAGAGTGTTAAGTATCTGCAAAAGTCGGGTAGAGTACTGCTTAAGTAGCAAGAGAACTAACTGTCTCTTGCTCTGGATACACCATAACCATCTTTTGTTCTAGAATTTCTCATACAATCAGCTTAATTGTGCCGGACAACTTAGATTAGTAAGGATATACCGATTCCAATTATTCCAAATCGCCCGTACAACTATTCTAGTTGTGCGAGACTTTTAGGATAATTTTGTTCTACCCTAGGTGTGTTAAGAGTCAAGACGGCCTCTCTTACAGGGCAAGTTGTCTCAAGTTCCCGTAGTACCGAAGAATTGTTATAACCAGTCTAATCGCTTAGCCATAAGCAATGGTACAATCACTTATAATACTATTCTACTCAGTTGAACAAATTACTCTGCCCTACTCTGACTAACTTAAATACTACTGGAGGTAGATAAGTATTCCGTCCTTACACTAACCTCTCAGCGTTTTACAAAATAGCTTATAGCATACACCTTCAAATAAACTTCGACCTCGTAAATCACGAAAGCAGAAGAGTAACATCATAGGAGAACAAGTTATATTCAGTGCCCAAGATAACAATATGATAGTAACATCTCAAAATACAGCATAATGCCTCTGCTCCAAAACTTCAACCATATCAGTCGCTACTTTCTCTTGCAAACATCAAGGATGATGATGCAAGTTAACTTTGACATAACGCAACACTCCATTGACCACCTTTGGTTTCTCGCATGCCCGCCACACTGCTCTCCAGCTTTGAACAGCTTCAGCACCTACTGCCGGATGGTCACAAAGTATCTCCAACTGGTGTAAATCCCCATGTAACAACATCTCCTCCACCACGGGGCAAAGAGCGCGTTGAGATTTAGCTCCAGGACGCCGGTGCTTCTTAGATTTCTGCTGCATAATGTGGACACGTAGAGACTGAATCTGGAGTCGCGTCTGAAGACAGCCTGGTCCGAAGTAGTATTCATGCGGGAGGCCGTAGTTTTCGATCGAAGAAGGCACGACGAATAGGACGGATTGGGTATGAAACAAGATTTCACGGAGTTCGTGGTACGTCTGCGCGCAGGTGAGGAGGAACGCTTTGAAGAAGGTTGGTATGATGGATAGGTCCGTCGGATCAATTCTCTTGAACTCTGGAGCGGAGTTGATGAAGGAGATATAGACAATTCGTCGAATCTCGGGAGGAAGGTCGAGAAAGCGGAATGGTTTTTGGACGAACATTTTGGTCCTTGAGCCTCGTTGAGAAATTATTTTGCGTGTGCTGGACGAGGCCGCAGGAAGTAGCGGGGAGCTCGACGACTCTGGAGGTCTTGGTCGCGCATGGCTGTAGAAGGGTTCTCCGCTATGTCTGAAATGGCGCAGTGATGAATTTCAAAAATGGGTTCGTGAATGAATTTGAAGGGTCGACAGGACGACCGAGCTCGCTTGCCCAAAAGAGCAGGAACCATTCGACAGCAAAAGGGGAGTCACGATCAAATCAAGTACGAATAATCCTTCTCCGGCTCCCCAATCCCTCGTAGACTGCTCTTCCTCAAGTCCGGATCCCTGAGTATCCTCATCAAGCACTCAAAATCCCACATCTCCCTCCCTTTACCATCATCGCCAACTTTCGCTACAGCCGACAACATCCTCACAGCCCCTTCTCGAACCCAAACCTCCAACTCTCTTAACTTCCCCTTCAATATCATATCTTCCAACAGTGGAAAAAGCTGACGAACATGATACCATCGATGAATAACAACCTTCATGGAACGAATCTGCAGACGATTAAGAAAGAACTCGGGGTCGTAGAATCCTGCTAGTTCGCGACCTACGAGTCTGAGAGAGAATGTATTATAGTTGAAGAAGAGGGGTCTTATTTCGTGGTATATTTGCGTGTTTACTAGCAGTAGGTCGTGGGGGTAGAAATCCGGTAACATCGTTGGACCTGACTTATCCAGAAGGTATGTTTTTGAGGAGTTCCGGTCTAGAGAGATGGCATCGTGGGGGTTGTGACAGATTAAAAGATAGATTTTTTCTCTGATTTCTGGAGAGAGGTCTAGAAATCGGAAGGGGTTTGTTTCCGTCATGTTTGATATTGTATTGAGGTGGCGAGTCTCGAGAGAGGGGTATCGAGATTCGAGACAAATTTGGGAGGGTTGAATGAAATAAATTTTAGATCACAAAAGACCAGCCGACTTATTACTTGTTGGTGTTGGCAATGGGACTCAAGGAATATAGCTTTGATTTCTCTTATGTGGACGTTGTTGTTACAGTACTTCACAATAATGATGAAGCAATGATGTAGTTGGGAAGGCTGAGAGACGAGGCTCAATATTTTGTGCCTCGCCAAATCTTCTTCAAACCACCACCTTTTTGGACAAACCAATAACCATGCCTCCCACCACACTATTCCGTGCCAACACGGCAAGGCAAATCATCTCAAGAGTTTCAAAAACCACAGAAGTTTCAATCATGTACGCAATCCCAAAAACGAATCAATTGGCCCCCAACTAACCCCCACAGCACCCGCACACTTCCTCTCACTCAAACCACCCCTCTCCACGAAAAACCCCAACTCGCAACTCAAACCCGCCAATTTTCCCACACCCCCCTCCTCCTCAAAAAGAAAACCCGCGCCGACCGCGAAGAAGCAGCAGCATCATCCCCCACCTCCCCCGCAGACGACCCCTTCGACTTCGCCCAACTAACCGCCGGAATCGAAAAGGCACAAGAGAACCTCTCAACCTCCCTCGCAAAACTGCGAACCGGCGGGCGCTTCAACCCCGAAACCCTCGAGTCGCTACGGGTCCACCTAGTAAAGGAGTCCAAGAAAACAGAGCGACTCTCAGATCTCGCACAAGTGCTCCCCAAGGGAGGTAGAACACTCAGTATCCTCGTTGGAGAAAAGGATCATGTCCATGCAATCACGTCCGCTATCCAGGAGGCCAAGGATTTAAACTTGCAGCCACAGCCTGATCCAAAGAATGAGTTGCAGTTGAATATTGCGATTCCACCGCCTACGAAGGAGTCGAGGGATTTAGCTTTGGCTGCGGCCAGTAAGACGGGGGAGACGGCTAAGACTGCTGTGCAAAGTGCAAGGAGTGTGCAGCAGAAGAGGCTGAGAGCGATGGAACTGAAGAAAACTGCCCGACCGGATGATTTGAAAAAGGCTCAGAAACAGATGGAATCTATAGTAGAAAAGGCAGTTGCGGATGTTAAAAAGGCTGTAGATGCAGCGAGGAAAACGATGGAGCAGTCTTGATGTCCTGTTCATTGCTATGTTCACACATTTTTTGTACACTAAAGCTACCGACATACCCCACGTCTATGATAAATACATAAGAGGAGCTATCATGCAGTAGCTCTCGCTTTTACTGGTTGGGGTTTCGCCTATGGTAACAGGGAGCTGAGTTTAGCTACCAGTTTCCTGGTATCTTGTGGTAGGTATGTCTCATTCCTCCTTAGGAAAAAGTCAACCTGACCGAGTACATCGTTTGCTGCCGGAGTTTTTGGTGCTTGATATTGACCAGCAACCCACGTCTTCATCAAAGTCTCCTTCGCCTTCTCATCCAAATCTCCGACTTGGGCCTTTGCAAACCCTTTACCCAGCGTAGTCGAAATATCCTTAGTACGCTGTCCCAGCCAGGAATTCGCAATAGATTTCTGATCTCCATCCTCAAAGAACGCAAATCCATTGCCATCATGGACTCTCGCAATATGATTCGCAGCATGGTAGTAGTGTCCGGCCCTAGTTCCAGTCGCAGTTTGTAGCTTGTACGCAATTGTATGGTTCACACCCTTTGAACTGGAAACCACAGGTGGGCTAACAGCTGCCATTGATTCTGCGCTGGTCGAAGGATTGTACGGTTCCCGAAATCCGCACTGAGAGTTGTAAAGATATGCCTTTTCCGCATCGGTATAAGGTTCCTCAGCATAATCCTCCTCTGAAGCTCTTGGCGCCCTAGTTCTCTTTCCACCACCTCTCCGACTTCCCCTTCCTCTGGTCATACCTGGTCGACCTCTACCAGCTTGTGGTCCTCCTGTTGCCCGGCCTTGATATCCGCCTTCATATCCACCTGGTCTCGCTCCTCCCCTAAACCCTCCCGTTGAAGCCTCCCCAGGTCCCCTGAAACCCCCTCTATATCCTCCAGGCGACCTCCCAGGAGTCGGTCCAGAAAATCTCTCGCGCACAATGGTGAAGGAACCTGTCGGAGGTTTCGCAGCCAAAGCTCTTGCATCGATACCGCGAGTAACATTCGAAGGTTTAGGTGCCAACGAAGATACTTCATTAAACGCTTCTCTCGATCGTTGAGACCTAGACGGTCCCTCTCTGTTATCACCTAAAAACCAATTAGACTCAATTGCAATTATTGCCATATATGAAGAGGGGTGAACAAACCCCCAGAGCCACCATCCCTCGTAACAGTGAAATGCCTCAAACTCGCCGCAATCCTATCAGCAACCCTTGAAATGTCCTGAGCAACAGGTCTTCCTCGACCAATCGCGGAGTGGGCATGCCATTTATACATGGTTGAATGATGTGGTGTATTACTCCTCCATCTCAAGCTTTCCTTCCCAGAAGATAAAACTTGTTGGTGCCTTATTTTCTATTTCTGCCTGATTTCGGGATCCACAATTTCAGCCTCGTTGTCTGTGTACTTCCGTACTTCAGTATCAACAAATGGAATCTCAAAGCTCACCTCCCAGGGCTTTCAATTCATTCACCATATTTCATATCTTTGGTTGCCCAGGAAATGCCAATTCTTACAACAAGACAGCAGTGAATTGACGTTGAAAACTCGCTTCACTGTCAAAATACAAAAGTAAACAATCACCACAACTTCGCCTTCAAACACACCTAACGCTCCCTCTCAACTCCACACTCAAAACAACAACATCCTACAATACACCAAACTACATTTCCACAACCCAAAAATCTTACCACCACCACAACCAAACTCCAAACAAAACCAAAAACCAAAACGAACCCCAAAAATGCTCCGCCGCAAACCCACAGCAATAACCCTCACAACAGAAGACGTCGCAATCTACGAAGACACCCGCGCCCGCGAAGCCCAACTCCTAGAACAAGCCGCCTACCAACAGCAGAAAGCCCACCATCAACAGGGAAACAACACGCTGCAGAACAAGAACCCGAATCTGGCCGAGGAGCGAGTTTTACGGGGTGTGAAGACGAGGGAGGAGAGGTTGGGGATTGCGGGGAATGGGGGGAGGAGTTGAGGTTGAGGGGAGAGGGAGGTAGGGGGATAGGGTGGGTTCGAGGTTTGAGGTTTGAGGGGGAGAATGCGAAGAGGTTGAGATATATGGTTATTTGTTTGGGATTAATGGGATGGTATGGGATGGGATGGGATGGCGTTTCGAGTTGGGTATGAATGAATGAATGCATGGATGGATGTCTGGGACGAAAAAACATGAATAACACGACGTAATGACGGCGGCAAGTTTATGGATATGTGACAAACCACAACTGGTGCTACACCATGCAAAGAAGGTGTTTGGATGTTTAGATCATCTGGAGAATTTCCTAACGATATCTTCCATACCAAGAATCAACAAAACAAAACACGCAAGCTCAGCGTTTCGAGCATTCAACGCTCACATACAGTTCAACTTACGTGTAAGAGAGGTGGGCATTACTTTACACACCTGAGATATAGAAAAAATATTATGCTAAAGACCTCACACAACTAAGTCAATTATGCGAATGGCTTAGAATAATATACTTTTTACTTCTTATTAACCTAGATGGAATGGGACAATTGATTTACTTGTCCTAGACTTTTGGCATAATGACTTTTGATAGCGTGTACAGAGCAATGCCCGCCTCCCTTATGTTATCAAGAAGTAGATGACGAATGAAGGCACAACAAACCTCACTCACTCTTGATATGCAGAACACAAGAACACGGTTGGTTATATCTTGATTCTCATTTCCTCAAGAAGAAAGCTCTCTACGAACTCTTCCTTTGCCCAGCTACTCCAGCTCCCAAATCAACACCAGCGAAAGCATCTCCTCTGCCCAATTACCTCCATACCACTTCAAAAATCCACCACATTCTCGTGCTTTTCTTTCTGGCCCAGTCCCCTGAATAAAATAACGCCACCCATTGTCTGATTTCTTCTTGCTTGCCTTCCCAAATATAATACACACAGAAAATGCATCCACGCACCCTCCTGATACTATCTACAAGAATGCCTCGCGTCCATGATGCAGAGCAATGAAATATCGTCCCCTCTCATCTCTCATCGACCGAAAAACAACCCCAGAAACGCCTTTTTTTTTGTGTCGCTAAATGCTCAAATATTGTAGGGAAAAGAATATAAAGAAAAATTGGAAAAGTAAGCAATCCTCGGATCAATAATGCAGCGTTTTTGCAATCTCTCAATTTCTTGGCTTGAAATGATTTAGAGGCACTTTCACCTTTAGTTTCACTACCTTCGATTTCTTAGGCGGAGGTGTTGCACTCTTGCTCGATTTGACACTCGTGTGTGTAGAGTTACTTGCTGATGTTGCACTATTGCTCAGGTTCATACTCGTATGCGACGACTTATTTGTTGAATGCGCCGACGATGTACTCGAATGATTGTGTGGTTTCATCACTCCTGCTTTAGATATAGAGCCTGTGAGAACTTTACGACCAGAAGCGTCTGGAAGTGGTTTCCTACCAGACGATGGCCCGGAAGAACCAGATGGAGATGAGCTATGTTTTGGCACCGCGTCTGGAAGAGGCTTTCGGGGCTTGCTGGGAGCATTATTCGCCATACTAGAAGGAGCTGGTGCCGAAACAGATATGGTGGAAGTTGATGTGGTTGCTACAGCTGGAGAAGGTCTTGGCGAAGGTCGCGAGACACCAGGAGCCGGTGAACTGCGTACTGAAGACGACTTGCTGATGCTTCTGTGCTCCGGACGCGGAGTGGTTCTCAGAATGGCCTGTACCTTGTCTCCCGGAACTTTGAGTCTCACGATTCTTCGACGCTTCTTAGGAGGATTTTCTTCCACGCCCTCGGCATCGAGCGGACGCTTTGGAGGCTTCATTGAGCCAGCTCCAGATTTGGGCACAGAAGTGGATGTGGGTTTCGGCGTCGAAGAGCTGGGTTTTGGTGTTGAAGATACGGGATTCGGCGTCAAGGGGCCTGGCTTCGACACGGAGGACGATAGCTTCGTCAGGCTTATACGAACTGGGCCAGGAGTAGGAGTAGAGGAGGCTTGCGTAATTTGAGGTTTTGGTGCTGGTGCCTGGATTTTTACTGATACTGGCTGCGCTACGGGTGGTGGAAGGGGCTCGGGAACTACTGTGGCAAGCGAATATTTCAGCCCGTTTGAAGCAGCGAGCTTCTTCACCGCCATATCCTCAGATAGTGGCTTCGTTCTGACTTTAGGTGTCTCTTTCAAAACAAGAATGGCCTCCTATAAACATGAAATTAATACGGGATAGTTCTAGGCCCTATGCTTATTACGTACCTTTACTTTCGTCTGCCCCTCCTTTGGCTTGGTTGGCTTATAAACGGCCTTACGATAACGCGGCAATCTGAGCTTGAGAATCATAGTGTTGATGTGGTCATATAGAATTGCAGATATATCCAGCAAATCGAGCTGCTCAAAAGGCCCGGTTGAGGTTGACTTAATTGATTCCCACAAGGCTTCCTTGAGTACTTCATTGTTCTTAAGCTCGGATTTAAGGGCATGTAGAGCGCCATCAATGGTCGTAGTACGAGCAATTTGAAGCTTACGTGCTTCAACTCGCTCATCAGTCAGGCCATCTTCGATGGTCAGATCGCCTGTATTTGATTCCGGTTCTGGCTGTGCCAAAGCTTCTGCCTCCTTATGGTGACCAAAAGCCACAGAAGCGAGACCAATACAAAAGACCTCAAACAAATGAGTTCGGGTATACGGAGAATTGTCGGTGCTGAGAACCTTGAGCAAGAGCTTACAGACCTGATCATTGGTAATGAAACCGAGATCAATGAGAGACTCAAACGCCTTGATACGGACCAAGTCTGATGTACCATCATGGAGATACTGCACAAAGTCCACTGGATCCAAGGGGATGACTTTAGACTTCATCAGTCGATAGTAAGCATCAAGGACGGTAGTGGTATAAATGTTCTGATACGAATCAATCCACTCGTCCATACGACGGCAACGATCTAGTTGGTCAAGTACTTGACGCTTAAACTGCTCAGGCTCGTCCTCGTCCTCATCTTGGTTCTCAGCAACAAACACCTCTTCATTTGCAGGACGTTCTTTTGGCATCAAAGAGGTTGCAAGACAAGACAACAAGTTGGCCACTTTGAATTGATCGGAAAATGTGTTGTCGCCATTGACGTTGAACTTCAGCATATCCATGATCAGTTGTCTGGCTTTCTTGGGGCACTTTCCATGCATATCTCGAATTTCAGACAACGCCTCCGGAATCGCCTTATCAACATAATATTGGCGCTTATCCTCGAAGTCATTGGGTCGAGGCATCAAGGTATCTTTGTAGCAAGAAAATTTCTGAAACGCCTTCTCCAACTGTCTCAAGCCCACCCAATCAACCTTTTTCGTAGCATGAACCTTCAAAAGCTTTGCCGCCATTGCTCGGATGCCATAGTAATATCGTGCGTCCATCAAGGTTCGGATCAAGAAAGTAGCTACAAGCTTATGATCAGGCATGGCCGCCAAATAGAGCATTGACTCCTGCTGAGCAACGATATCTCGATCCTGCTGAAGTTGCGAGACATACATATAAGCAGGCATTTCATTGAATTTCTTGTGGCAAAGCCATTCGAAATCCGAGTCGATACGCAACCATTCATAAGACTCTTGGGCCATTCTAGCTTCCGCTGCCTCATCCCAATCACCGAGTTCCCACTCTGCAATTTCTTCGGGCGTCTGAAGATTGTCCCCCAAACAGTAGTAAAGAGCATCCTCGCCATCTTCGCCACCCTCAGCCCCGGCATTCTGTCGTTCGTTTTGGCGTCGGTTTCGCTTGAGGCGCTTGTACTTGGTGTAGTACGGGATCTCAATCTTGTGGTTTTTGCTATCTATCTCGACGATATGTTCGTAAGGAGTACCATCAGCCTCATGAACTCGAATAGTCAATGGTCCGGTGAAAAGAGTTTGTACCTCCCCAGCATAAACTTTGTTGACTTCCTCCTTGACCTCTCTGGGGAATGAGTCCTTCTTGAGAAGTCGTTGGGTAGGCTCTGTATCTTGACACTGGGAAATATTCATATCAATGGTTGTCTTTTTCTTGTTGAATTTGGTACTGATAACAAATCTAGGACAACCAGCACCATAAACCCACTGATCCCAGAAAGACTCAGTCTGTCGATACTTTGTAATCTTCTCAATGAACCTACGGAATTCCTTGGTGGTCAATACGCTGTCCTCTGGCATACCCGTGTTTGCAGAAATAATAAGTCTGGACACAACTCGAGTGAGACCATAAGTACCAGTGGCCTTGAGAATACGCTTGTCGAGAATAAAACATACGAGAGGTGCCTTTAAAGCCATGAACTCGTTCTCATACTCTCCAAGATGGAGAATTTCACCAAGATTGTATATTGATGGTCTCTCAATATCCTCTTCTACAACTCTATCGGAGAGAGTCTTTTGGCGATAAAAATAATCATTGGCACCGCAAAGGAGTTTCATAAAGAGACCGGTCATATAATGCGACAGCCCAATTGTGATCCAGCGATCCTTCGGTTGATTCGGCACCATGGCAACACCAAACCATTGGGTAGCCCCTGCATGAACGAGTGTTCGGATACTCTCAACCTCAGGTTCGATGATATCCTCACTGACAAGTAGCCGAGTGCTACAAAATGAGAGGGAAGCCGTATGTTCCGTGTCTCGTATTTGATCATCGACAAAAACAATGGAGTATTGCGAGAAAGGGTATGCGCCAAATGTCAAGGTAAACTCGTCCATGGCGGAAGTGAGAGGCGAAGCAGTGTGTCGTAACTGAGAAGAGCGCCCAGGGGGACAATATCCAAGGATCTTCAGCCCCGATTGGCCTAACTTCTCCGCGTTTTCATCCTCGCGGTACTCTGTAAGATCAACTTGTTCAAAAGGGCCGATGGCAAAGCCAATGTGTTGTGGGGCTACAGGTCGAGCGCACTCGAAGGACATGATCTTCTTCGTACTGTCTTGGACATCGACCGCTTCGCGGATAGGCTCCCCCGAGCACAAAACAACCATTTCCAGAAGCTTTTCGTCTTCGCTGAGGTTTATCTCACAATCTTCCGTGGGTTTTACACCATTAATATTACCACGAGCAGGGTCCTTCTTGCCAGTGTGTGCCTTGTGATGTTTCACAGGTTTGCGTTTGAGAGCTTCACCCAAGGTTCGAGAGCATTTGATATTGATATCCCATGTTGATCTCATAGCTGGGTCATCAACACAAGGAAAAATGCACGAGGCAGTTCCGGGGTCAATTGAGTGACGTGTGTATACATTGGGAAACCGGGCATCGCCTTCATTCAAACCAACAAACTGCAAGCCATCGCGGAAGTTCTTGGTTGCAAACTGGATGCTGACCTTCAAAGGCTGATATCGAGCAGATTGATCAGCTGCCGCCTTGGGAGTCAAGACAGGTGTAGCAGAAAGAGGGACACCGTTCAAAGCAGCTCTCTGGGATACTGGTGTACCTGCCTTGTCAGAGAAATGATCAACCTCTTGGACGCGAACACTGCGTGGAACAGCAACGACTAATGAGCCATTTGCCCTTTGGTCAGTAGTCAGGCAGGAGATGCGGTGCTGTTGAAGTTGAGCTTGGTTTGCGCTCCAGTCAACGTTCAATGGGAGATCCATCTTCTTCATAGGATCCTCGTATTCGAAATACGTCTCAACGCCTTCGACCGAGACATGATTGTCTTCGATGATACATTGACGCGCATCAATTCGGATGTATTCGAGGTCTTTAACTTGTGGTAATATTGTAATTTCAGTGCGACCAGTCAAGGTCTGGGTAGGAAAGTCAACGTGTATGTCGAGCTTTTGATGCGAGACCAGAAAGCCATAGACAGGCACAAGAGGCTTCGCTGGGACAACCTCCGCGAGAGATGCCATCGGATCACCCAGGTCCATCATATCTGGAAGTGCGGTCGGCATTTCGTCCTGGGTGTTGAGCTCTTGCTGCTTCTTTTTGAGGGTGCCAGTGATGCTGAAAATGCTCCTGTCTATCGCGGCAATCGAGCGTCGGAGTTTTCCATCAACTGCAGTGGCGGCCTCCTTGAGCTTTGCATGTATACCAAATTTGTCTTTCGCTTTTTTGAAAACTCTCCAGTGGCGTACGACTTCTGTCTTCTTCTTAAAACCGCGTCGGGCGTTTTGGTAGTTAAAGATGATGTGCGGATTCACATCAGGGTACGGAACGTAGTAAGTGGGCAGAGGTGATTGTATTTCGCGGGAAGCCACGGTGGTTAAGTGGCCGGGAGTCGGAGGATTCGGTCTGGAGGTTTAGGGGCGGAGATACAGGTTCGACTACCTGTATAGCGCTTCGATGTTGTGCGAAAGGTGACGTCGTAGGTCGACTCGTGGTGTTGGCGATCGAAATGGGTGTAGGTATAGGTTTGAAGTTGAGGGTTCATGAATTCACCCTAATCGAATTGAGGAAATGTTTGTACAGGAATTATTATGCAGTGCAGTGCGCAGCGGAAAGTCGTAGGCGGAAGCTTGAGAAGTTGTGGTTGATGTTGTCGCAAGAAGGTATCTGAAGGTATCGTTGGGAATCGATGCACGAGAATGAAATGGAAGGGCGCTTCTATTATGCAGCGAGAGGGTTCGTGGGCGGTGACGCATGCACTGGAAGCAGTGTTCCAGGCACACTCGTCGGAGGCGACGGCGACGCGTTGTGCGGTATTCCAGTGAATCCGCGACAGTGATCCAATGTTTTGGAGTTCGACAGCTTCACTTCGAGATATCGTCAGTACGCGCACGTGACAGGGGTGGCCAGCCTTGTCTCCACCCACGCGCAGATTGGCGAATGAGATCATCGGAATATAATCAGGCCTTGAATGCGGGGAGCACCTGCTGCATTGGCCCCAGCTCGGCTCCATTTTCAGTTGACGGCTCCCAGTGGACAAGAAAAGTGCACTATTTAACGTAAGTTGATTCCAAGTACTCAATTGTTTAAAATGGCTCGAACAATTAACTTGATTGTCCTATCGTTTCAGATCAATCATTTTAATTCTCCAAATAAATAACCTAATATAATGGTTTTTAGTCAAGTTAACCCTAAGCTAACATAAAAGAAGTCTCTACCACTTTTCCTGTCCACAAGGAGGACGCCTGATGTACCACCTCAATTCTTCATCTGATGGTGCATTTCTAAGCATCTATACTTTCCAGTACAACATCACATACATCATCGTGCAAGTCTGTTCCTTTCCTAATAAAATCAAACGCTGTTTTTATTTTCGCCCCTCGAGTAGAGTCTTATAATACAACCAGGAAGCCCCTCCAAATCCTACTCAAGTACCCCTCCATCCATCCGTCAAATCACGTCCCGCTCCGAATCAACTCCATGCCCATATGCAGATATTCTAGTTTTACAACCTTCCCCTATCAATTATTAAAAAGAAACCAATGATAACGAGCTCCAGCCAAACGAAGCACTTTCGATTTGGCCCCGACAGTCATACCCCGCGAAAGACGAATCCTTATGATTTACTGATCCTTCTATCACGTCTCTTTCTTCTTGCATGGGCCTTTAGCGTCTCCTCATCCCTAAATTCCTCGGGCAATTCGAAATCTGCTTCGGGTATCTCAGGTATTGGGTGACCCCATGCAGCAACACTTCGATGGCTCCTCCGGTGCTTACCCAGCGCCGATGCTCTCATGTGTGGCTTTGCAAAGAAAGAAGTAAACTCCTTCTGTGGCTCCTCGTCATCTAAGACGACAATAGTTCCGGTCGCGGCTCTGTTCCTTCGAGGGGGTGGGCGAGCAACGGGGGTTGAGCGAGCAGTTGCTTCTTCGTGCAGCTGTCTTGCCGCTGAAGCATCAATATCACTATAATCCGGCGGGTCGCCATCGCTCTCGGCACCATCGTCAATATCCATCTGCTCCGACTCAGCTCGTGCTTCGGCTTGAGCAGCATCTCTCTCCATCTTCCTCCGCTTCTCCTCGTCCTTCCAGATTTGAAATTTGGCCAGAATGGCTTCGCATCCTTTAATAAAATGATCTCGTGCAGGTTCGTAATCTTTCTTCTTTGAATCCGTAACTCCATTCACCCCCATAAGCTTCAACCAATCGTGACCTTGTAACCCTTCAAAAAGTCGAACAACCTGGTCTCTCTCGTGTTTTGCTCGGCCCTTGTCATTATTTCGGATTCCCTTCTCCTGCCGCTCGGGTCTCTTGTGCATGGCTTCAAAATATTCGCTTGGTAACGGATCCTCCCCTCCATCCTCCTTGTAAGTCTTAAACATGAATGAGTAATCCATTCTTTCCACATTGCGCACATCATGAAATATCGAGGAAGGATATTCTTTGAGAGGGAATTTCTGTGGTGCATTCGGCTTGCGTTGGGAGGTTTGTTGGGTGGGTATCTTGGCACTATTGATTATGCTTATTGGGGTATCTACATTCAGAATAACTATCGCAATTTAGAACGAGCGTCAATGGCAATTGAAGTGTGAGAAGAATAACTCACGTTCCTCCTTGGGTTCATTCCCAATCACCTCATCGTATTCCGGGAAATATGCCGACAATTCGCTCTTGAATCTTGCCCCCTCTTGTGATCGCAGCTTCCGCTTCTCATCCTTGAGATCGGCCGCATTTGGTTGTAAACGGTCCAACTCATGCTTGATGCCATTTGCGACCTTTTGGTGGTGATCTACAGGTTTTCGTACAGGCGGTGTCGGGGCTTTTTTCGTTTGTGTTTGTGTCGCGATCTCGATTTTTGGTGGCGGTGCTGCTGCCTGTGGTGGTGAAGTTGGGGGGTTCCGCACAGGGGCAGTTGTGGGTTGCGCGTCCCTCTTAACCAGGAGCGATCTGGTCTTTGGCTGGAGTTGTGGTCTTGCGTTGAATTCGACGGCCATTTTGGCCTTCTTCGCCTTGAGAGCCTGCTCTTCGTCATCTATCGCATCGCGGGGGCGTTTTTTGCGGCCAATGTTGGATTGTTGCAGGCGTATGTTGTGGTTGCTTGGGGATATTGCGACGTTGCTTCTGGTGCTGGGCCGGGTGGTGAGCCCTTCAGAGCGTCTCGAGGTGCGAGTAATTGTTGACGCCATTGGGAAGTCGGTGAGCGTGGAGCATGTCGTGTCTCTGCGCCGTTGATCTGATTGAGCAGGTAAGGGAGGTTGTTCTCTACTGAAGTTCAAGACCAAGGTTTGCCAGGGCGGGTTGGCTTGTATCATAGTCGCTCTCCCAGTCTGTGGTCTTTAGCGACGGCAGCAACTGCGAGTGGAAAAGCGAAAGGCCCCGTGCCTGCGTTGGATTCACAACCACGCAAACTGGAATTGGATATTTCTTTATTCGATAATGCGCGCTAGCAAAATCTCGTTCATTTCATGCATTATTTGGCAAATATGCAAGTCAATCGTGTTTGATGCTCGGTCGTGAGGTTACACCACGAAATGCTTTTGTGGAGGGCAAATGAATGACTCGGAAGTCCAGGTTCATAAAACGCCGACATTGCAGTGTTTGCGTAATTTTAGATTAATAGGAGATGATAATGGGTCATTTACAAAGAATCGAAGTCGCATCCAAATGCCTACATATAGGTAAGTTTTATAGGTGTGAGATGCGTGCCTCTAATTATCCTATTTTTGATACAAAGCTGAAATGCCATCCAGAAATAAATACCTAGATGCTCATGAACCAGCCTCGGCTTCGGTGTATCTAGTCCCGAAAGAAACGCTATGATATAAATAGCAGCAATAGACTTCAAATGATTGAGAGCAATGCACAATGAATTGTCTTTTTAACTCCATCTCAACTATTTCTAAGAACAGAAGCGCAGGAGCTTGTCAAAACCTTCGTACTGTATAACTTATCAGGCCATTAAACTTTGCTTACTTATCCTCAAACAATCACGTCGCATTGTACATAACCAACCGTGTTTGCTTTGAGGAACTATGAAATACTCCAAACATATTTCTATATACATCCAAGAAATTTCTAAAAGAAGTATTACTCTAGGAGAGGCTAGGATATTCCTTTCTCCCAAATTCAAGAAACCCCATCTCATCACCAAAATCTACCACTACCATTACCCTTTCAGACTTCTACCTCCTAACCTGTAGACATAACTCGCAAGTAACCAGAACTCGCAAGTAACCAGAACTCCTCAAAGACATTCCCGGTCCCGACTTCCCGTCACTACGAGTACAAAAGTGAATATGGAATCATTGCCCTCAAATGACATCATTCGCCTTACACCTCGAAAAATCGCCAATGGGCCCTATCTACGTATTTGTAGATATTTGTCACTCTAACATCTTTCACCTTAGGACACACTACTCCACCGAGACTATAGCCTACTGCAACCAACGCCTTCACAAAGATGAATCATGGGAAAATATGAATGGCAAGTAATTCTGGGAACAACACGTTTCTTTTTTGTCCAACATCTATTTTCCTACCAAGGGCCATGAAGTAATTATCAACTGCGATGCTTACGACCATATACCCGAAAGTTGCGTATGAGTATTGATTGTTCTGTATGCTCCTGATTGCGGCAGCACAAAAAGTCTCTCAATGCTATACAATTTGGTGTCCATCCATATCCATTTACCTACTAATGCTCAAGTAATACCACCCTCCGAGCCTCCATCCAAAAAACACACCATTCTCCTTACCCTCCTCCCCCTCCCCCTCCTGAAAATATCAACAAACTTCGAGCATTGCAGCTATCTCACTGTGACCAAACTCAACACCCCAACCCACCCACAAACCCCCAAAACTCCCAAGCTTCACACTCTAACAAACCCACCTAACTAATTAAGCTCTCTTTCAAACTTCAAATCCTGCCCGCCAAAACATCTTCAATCTCAGAATCAAATCCTGCACAAACTTTCTACCTAACTTCAATCAAATCAACAATTACAGGTCATCTTACAGTACCCCCCCTCTTTCCCATCTCCCAGAAAAGGAATATCTGAAAGCGAGCGGGAGAATCGACAATAACAACCTTTTCGACGGTAGTTTTAAAGTTTGTAGTTAGGGAAAGAATCGTTTTACTCTTGTTCTGATAGTAGGGGGGACTTCACGGGTCTTTTTTGGGCAATGATATGTGTTGAAAGGGAGAGGCTGGTGGGGTGATTGAAGGTTCATATCGTAATATTGATAAGGTATTGGAGGATGAGTAAAAGTACCAGTCATGTGCTGGGGCTGAGAGGGGTTAATTGGGGATGTTGAAGTATATATTAGCTTGGTTTATCATACTAGCTAGAAGAAAAAGAAATGGATTAGTTAAAGACCATCGCCGAGGGGGATTTGATATGACATTCGCTTATATACTACTATAGCGAGGTAGGATTATAACCTAATATATATACTTCAAGAATCAAGAAAGTATCCAAATTGAACTGCTCTATTAGATACTTCCACTAAACCTTCCCTTTATCTCTAAGTACAGCATCCAAACAATCTCACTCCATCTTACTGTCTCACATAATCCCACAAAATGTCAACAAATAACTCTTCATCTTCATCATTCACCTCTCCATACCACTCTCTCTATACAAAACTCCTATAACCATACCATACCACACCATACACAAACACCACAAGTACTCCTGTATTTCCGTACGAGTACTATCCTCTAGTACCCTTCCAACATTCAAGCTTGATTCCATAAACAATCCTCCAACAATACCATCCTCTGCCTCCCTCAGACTTCTAATTAGCGATTGTTCCAGCGATCTAGATCTGAGTAGTTCAAACCCAACCTGTTTAAAACCTCAATCCAAACCAGCACCTAAAAGTTCCTACTTTCTTACCCAGACATATCGATTCAACGAAGCAATTGTAACAAATAAACCAACAAACCCACTACTTAATATCAATACAACACACCAACCACAAGTAGAACCCAACATTCATCCATTCAGACCCAAAGCATGAATCATGATGAGTTTAACCACAATAACCTTAATAACCTTAATAAAAGCAAACTTCCTCAAAAACCAGCGTAATGAATCAAAGTACTCCAAGACAGTTAGAGTATGGTAGACAAACCTCTAAACCCCCCCCCACAAAAAGAGAATCCATTATCCCAAAAGCCTCATACAACTAAATTCCTTCTCCGAGCGATACAAGTATAGAACAATCAACTTCAAAAGAGTAAAATCCATCTCCATCAACCCAAACCTACTCCAAGTAATCCAGAACAACCAAAAGAATCATTCTAATTATCCGAACCATAATAAGGTTTCGCAGGTATACAATATACATCCAATATTCGCCCTATATACATACTATCTTACTATCTACAAACACACACACATATCACCAACTAACTCAAGATCTGACTTACCCCCCCTCCCCTTCCCCCCCAACCCCCACGTCCCTATCCTACGAACATAACTCCATAAATCCCCTCTACACTGAATAATCAACACCCCAGCCCCAAAACACTTACATTTCCAAGAAACGAATGCCAACGCGCAGAGTTCTTGCGGTCGAAAGGTTACTTATTGTCGATTCCTCGACTTCCTCTCTCTCTCTCTTCTCGACGGAAAATTTTAGCATTGGCCATGTATGTCATCATCTTCGGTATGGTAATTAGTTCTACTAGAGTAGTACTCGTCCACACAGTCCCAAATTCCAAAGAAATTTACTCAGGGACCTCACATCGAACACCTTGGCGATCATCACCCAGAACCATCTACCTTCATTCCCTCAATCAAAAGTAATGTAGACCTCAAAGCCACTCACTCACTCATTCATTATCTCAACGCCACTTCCCCCCAAGTGTATCTATCTACAAAAACCCCCACAAACGCACCCAACCTCTACATGAGAGCAAATGGTATCATCTCTCAAATCACAGCCAAAGCCCCCACTTCACACCACGAAAATGCAGATCAATGATCCACCAAACGCCACAAATTCCACCAAGCAAGCAAAAGAAAGATCGTGAGAAAAAGCAAAAAAGAAAGGCCTGTATATCCTTCTAAAGCTCGGTCGTGAATGCCAAAAGTACTTGTACAGGTTCTTCAAAGAAAGAAAAAGAAGCAATCTAGGAAAAATGAAAGAGAGAGAGAGAGAGAGAGAATAATGGGTATGTGCTGTATCCATGGCAAATGGGACACCCTTATTTAGGTGCTACTTCACCTTCCTCTGCCTTCGCCACCGCCGTCACAATTGCATCAGCTGCACTCTTCGCAACCAATTCTTGTATCTTAGGAATCAACTCCGCAATACGGAAAGGTTTTGACACAACGTCATTCTGTACAGAACATCATTAGCCACAAGACTCCACCCTCAAAAGGGGAAAAGGAAATAGAACGACTCACCATCCCAGCTCTCATCGCATCATCAATCTGCTCCAGTCTAGCATTTGCCGTAACAGCAATAATAGGTAAATGCCTTACAATCGTCCCATCCTTTTCAAACTCCCGAATCTTCCTAGTGGCAGTCAACCCATCCATAACCGGCATCTCCAGATCCATGAGAACCAGTGTCAATTCTACACCATCCTTCTCTCGACCCCTCCAGAAAGAAGACTTTCGGATAACATCCAGCGCTTCACCTCCATGATTCGCTACCAAAGTATGAAAACCAATGTTTTTGAGCTGCTTCTGAAGGACCCGTTGGTTGACGAGATTATCTTCGACAATGAGAACTTTGATGGCTTCGAAGTTGAAAAGGGTCGTGGGGGCTGACGCTGGAGTGCCAGCTTTTGGTGTACTGGCTCTAGAGGCACTCCTGGAAGATCCTCTTTTGTTTTCGACAACAACAGTCGAGCTGGAAGATTTTCTTCGGAGGCTGGCATAATTGTCATAAACGGAGCGTGAAGAATCGCTTTCCACCTTTCTAGCTCGAACGTAAAATGCAAAGGTGCTGCCAACGTTTCTTTCCGATGCTACCCCTATCTCACCACCTTGCAATTCCGTCAATTCTCTCGAGATAAACAAGCCCAAGCCGCTCCCTCCATATTGAACATGAGTTCGAGGGCTTGCTTGCCGAAAACGTTGAAAGAGAATGCTCTTTTCCTCTGGATCAAGCCCACGCCCTGTATCCTCGACAGCAAAGAGGAGAAATATGTTCTCTCCAGTGCCCCATTCTGCGTCTTCCGTGACATCTTTGAAAGCTTTGACGCGGCGACTTGGAAAATATGTAACACCAGACTCCGAACTGGTCGGTCTCTCTATACTAGCCCCGATACTGACAATGATCGTTCGCTTCTTTTGCGTGTGCGTAAATTTGATGGCATTCGTCGTAAGATTAATCAAGACTTGTAGAAGTCGTGATGGGTCAAGTTTCACTCTGTCCACCTGTAAATCCAGATATGACTTTTCGATCCGGAACTCCATGGAAATATCATTTGTTTCGAGCTCCCCCTCGAACATTTTGAGCGCACGTTGGACGACTTCAACGGGAAGCACTTTGACGGGTGTGACCATTAGAAGTGCTGAATCGAGTTTTGACAAAGTAAGAATGTCATCGACAATTCTCTTTTGATGCTGAGCACAGAGAGCAATAGTCTGCGCAGCATCGATACCACCATCTAGAATCTCCTTCAGTTTCTCGGAGAAGCTGGTTTGTTCGCCTTGCGAAGCAAAGGCAACGAGGGAGGAAGAAATCTCCTCGGAGCACTGGAGAATAGCAGACAACGGGTTTCTCATCTCATGGCTGCAGTAACGTCAGTAATACATCAAGAATCTTATTTTGAGACTTACGAAGTCATATCGATGAAATTTTCCTGCTGCCTTTTTAATTCAATGGCCTCTTCCATCCTCTGTTTCTGAAGACCCTCTGCCGACTTTTGAGACGAGATGTTAGTAATGCTCCCAAAGACACTTTTAAGCTGTCCTTTCTCGTCCTTTTCTGGAAAGGCACTCATCAAGACCCAAGTGTCCGTCATATTACCGTTTCTATCTTGCCAAGGAGCTTTGAATCTGAACTGATGGGTAACGGCGGTTTTTTGATGGACCAGAGATTTCCAAACCTTCTCGACCCCTTCGCGGTCCTCTTTTTTGATGCTATCCATCCATGAGTCTGCGCTATTGACCGATCGAGGGTGACGAGAGATTTCCCTAGAGCGAGATTAGAAAATGACACATGGGCTATAGGAACATCGGGCACTGCTCTACGATCACCCAAATTGGGTTGTATTGTGTGAACCTTTCTAAGAAACCGGAGTTACCGTTCGAGGGTCTTAAGAAGAAATGAGAAATCTAGTCCCTCACTGTTCCAAATCGTCTCAAATAAAGTTTCCTAGTATCCTAGAAAAGTTCACACAATCCGTGCCAGGGAGGTTATGCACAAAACAATGACTGTGTCCCTTAAAAGTAGATGTACGTACCACCAAGTATCATTGGAGTAGGTGATCTCCCCGACCGAATTGGCAATAAACATTCCCACAGGAGCAAATTCTGCCATTCGAGTAAACTTGGTCTCGCTTTCCACCTTTTCTCGAGTGCGCAGGTCGAGCTGTTTCGAGAGTTCTTGTCGATCCAAGGCGGCCAATTGAGCTGCCCGCTGACCACGTCTAATCTCCTCCTCAAACAAAACTACCGATGCCATCGAAGTTGCTAATTGTCGACTCAGAAGTTGGATAAAAAGGCTGTAATCATCGTCAAAGGGGCGCCGGGGATTGACTCCTATGACCAGAAATCCGAGTATCGAATCCCCAGTTGTAGGATGGATTGGGCAGACAACCACAGCACGGCATGGATCACCAAAACCACGCCACTCTAGACCTTCAATCAAATCAAAAGAAAGTGTGCCATCAGCAGTCTTCAAAAGAACAGGTTTATCTGTTTTCATGGACTCGCGAAGATAAGGGGCAAACCCGTCGTCGCTAGCTTTCAGATCGAGAGGGCTGACTGATGATCTGTGTCCTTTGGGGACTCCTAGCGTACCTTCAAGTACACACTGTGGTGATTGTGAGAGTGAACCGCTATGCATACTAGTTACTTCACTATCTGAGTCATCCGTGACCGAATACAACAGGCAGAATGGTACATCATAATCTGAGTTATGATTAGTGACGTACATGCAAAACGTGGCTTCTGCATCACAAGAGGGAGCGTTTCATACCATTATATTCAAGACCTTTGATGACCTGACCCCAGAAACTCTTGACGTCTCGAGCAGCGGCGGTCTTATCACCAACCTCTCGTAACGTAAGCATCCTTCGCTCTGCGATTTTTCGACGAGTCTTATCAAATGCCGGATTGTAAAGACCAACGACCGATCCATCTTCTCCAATGAGTGGAATAATAGACCAAGAAAAGTAAGATTCTTCGAGAAATCCATTTCTATTTACGAATAAGCAGTCATCATCCTTCATCGTTGATTGACCGGAATGTTTGGCACTGGCAAATACGTCTACAACATTCGACCATATTTCTGCCCAAGCAGTCTTATAACTTTGGCCCTACACGAAATCAGAACCTTAAATGGAGATGGAGGGCTTGATATTGAAGAATGGTATCCAGAATCGCCGCTGAAAACTGAGTTTCTCTCCAAAATTGCACAAAAGGGCAGGAAAAGGCAGCCAGAGTTTGAATAGCTCACACCAATAGAGCATCCTTAGAGTAAATAAACACGAAAACTGAAGCACTCACCATTAATTCCGGATGCTTCTTCCCAGCCAACATGATATATGCCTCGTTGTATATTGCGATATACTCATCGCCCCAATACATTGCCGCTGGGTGAGGCGATCCCATAATCAGATTACACATAGCCCTCAAGTCGAAAGCCCAATTTTCAATTGGACCAAGGGGTGTGGAAGCCCAATCGATACTCCGAGCAAACTGAATGTGCTTTGGAAGAGCGGCTGTTAAAGGCAGCCTGGTCCAATCGAAGGAGGGATTGTCAGGGTATCTAGACATTAACATGTCGCTTGTTAGAGCATCTTTTTGAGCAGCTATCATGGCACGCCTTGGTGGGCTGCGACCTCCAAGGCTCACTGGGCTTGGCTTGATAGAATGAGGTAACGTGTTGTTTTGGCTAGGCGGCGGAACAGCATCACCAAAATAATCTGAATCTTCAATTGATTCAACTAGTGGTAGTGGTGACTGCTCGAGCTGGCTTTCATCAATACACCTCGGGGAACTGAGCGGTGCGCCATGGGAGCTTGTTGAACCTCCTACGCCAGAAGCTATGATGCTGCCACTTCCACCAATCAACCTAAGGCGTTTCCTCAAAGTACTACACGACCAAGTTATCCCACCATATGTGAATGAAGGCAAGGAAACATCCATTGCTTCGTTGTTTTTCACAAAACTTAGCACCCACCCCTTGAAGTCGGCAAAGTCGTCTACGATTTTGGGACCATCGTATCTGTCGCCACTTGTGACCATGTCCAAAATCGCTTCATGTCCACGAAGAGAGGCATTTGCGAAGACGATTACCAATGCTCCACCCGGAATGAAATTGTTCGGATTGGCCACATCTATGATGAATGTAGGTCGCTCATCTTGCTCCAGCAGTTCTGTGATCCCAACACTTCCCAGAATTTGCATACCTGGCGATCTGCCTTTTGGTTCCGGACTCCTAGCCATGCTGGCTCTCTCAAACGACGCGAGACTAACCGAGGCGCCACTCGATCGTGAAGTGCTGGCGTTACTGACACTCCCCCTGGCCAGTTTGAGGGTCGTCACACCCGCCGTCTCTTCTTTATTACTTCTATTCAACATCTCCGCAGCGATTGGGGTCGTGAGTACTGGTGGTAACAACGGCGGCTGCCTCGAGACGTGAGGGAAGAATAAGGGTGATTGTGGAGTCCCAAATTGCGCGATTTGTGAATCGGTGGTACTTCGAGAGGTCAGGGGTCTTTTCTTGGGTCTTTCTAGGATCGCGTTCGACTTTGGTACATTCTCTTCGGAGAGTCTATGTTTCGAGGTATACGCTTCCGTGGAAGGGTGTGTAGGAGGGTTTGTTGCGACTTGGTGTGGAAATTGCTGTGTGCCTTTGCCCTTGCCCAAGCTCGATGTTAATCCTTTTGGCGCATCATCGAGTCCTTCTCTCAAGCCGATCTCTTCATTTCTTGCAAAGCGTTCTTGTGGTTCTTCGAGAATTACTCGCGCAGGGCTTGGAGCATGTGAATGTGAATGTGAATCCTAATGGTTTGACGGTATTAGCACGAGTCTTGGGGTGAAATTGGGATTGGAGTTTCGTATGACCTCTTCCAAACCGACATTTGAGTGCGGTGGGTTTGCCAGGACAAAAGCCTCCCCAGCTGGACTGCTTGAAAAATTGTTCAGGGTAGGGAAGAAGGTGGAGCGAGGTGTGCAGTCAGTTGTGGTGATCTGCACTACACTGGAGTCTCGCGGTGGGGTCAGACTTGGAAGGGATTGATTTGGTGATTGGTGGGTGGCAGATCTTTCTGGGGAGTGAAGATAGATTGCGGTTCAGGCTTGGAGGTCATTGAGGAGTGCGTGGGCAACAGTGAGGTGAGGCCGCCAGCAGGTGCAAGTGCCGGTGGCTTGTGGAGGAGAGGGAGGGAAAGTGCGATAGGCGTTGTCTTGCGTGTGTACTCGTAGGTCTGTGGGGACAATGTCTATGTAGTGAAGTAGGCACCTAAGTAGGTTGGTTCCCTCCACTGTTCCAGAGTTCAGTGAATGCAAGCTGGTGATCAGTAGGTGTAGCTGTAGCAGTAGCTGTAGCATGCAGCTAATCCCTGTAACAATCGCTGTTACTGCACCTATTGACTGTGAGTACCAGTCCAGTCCAGCTAGACCTACGAGTACTCAAGTACAGCAAGCGACCACCACAGCAATCTGCAACTCGAAATCTTTCAGGCATTGCTGCAGCACTGGAGCCTCGCTTGGTCAATAATGCAGGCGACGTACTCGTACTATACTCCGTATCCCAATGGCTTATTGCTTTCTGCTGCGACTTGCAACTCGTAGGAATTAATGGGTGTATCAAGTTCAGTGGCGTCTCAAGCTTAAGCTTAAGCTTCTGCGCGGCCAGCTGGCCACCTGGGCAAAAATGCCTTACTTTGTCTGGAGTAGTCAACTCGCAGGCCAGCCTGGGCCAGTATGGACCCGGTTTTGCGGGCTCTGGAGTCTGGGGTTCTGCCCTGTTGTGAGACCCTGGCAGCACGGCTACTACCCATGCCTCCTATGGCTGTTCTTCTGCGATGGCCAGTACTCGAATATTTACAATATTCCGTATACCCAGGTACGACCATTGGCAACACAGAAATCTCCCCTCGCCTGGGAAGATAAATACAGTGCACGATAGGTAGACGAGTACTGAAGCTAATCGAGAAATCATGTCGATGACCCCACTGTACCCGTAAATCCGACGGCTATCACATCATCTACCGCCTTAACCTTAACTTATTTGCGAGTCGTCGTCTCAGATAGCGACCATGTCAGCTGAAGCCGGACCTACCGTATTCGTAGGATCCTTTGCCTCGTCATGTAAGAGACGAACTAGGAGGCCTGAGGGTGTATCATGATTCGGAGTGGTGGCTCCTCTCCGTCTATCAGTGCAAGTAAGCCTGAGCACAACTTCGTCGCTTGGGCATGGTTCATGAATCCGTGATAATTCGAGAGAGGAGAGGAGGTCAAGAACTTTCGTATCCGACGTCCACTTCGGCCAACATCCGGTTTGTCTTTTCCCATGTGAGAATGGCATCTGGAAAGAATTCGTGCATGACATCAGCGGCGGGAAGCTTGGATCAGGTTACATTGCTTATACCCATTCCGCGGGGAATCCATGAACATCATACGATTATGTGTACCTAGGTCCCCATTATTAATGTGCGATTCCAACCAATGTAGAGAAGAATACAGGATAGACTCGAACAACTTGACGGATTTAACATTGCCATCAAACAAATATGAGAAATTGTATGAAGAAAACAAAAACCCTCTTACTCATCATAGACCAGAATAAGAATACTGTCAAGCAGTGATTTTATTACTTCCCCCTTCTTAAGTTCTTAATGAACGATCCAAATCATCAATGCACCTCCATCACCCATACTAAACCCTAAGAACTACTTCTTCTCTCTCCTACCGCATGTCCAAACAGGAAAGTCTAGGTACTCCGTACTGCAATACTCCCCAAACCCAATCCCCAACAACCCACAATTTCCAGATCCCAGATCCCAGATCCCACTTCTCAATCTACAAAAACAACCACAATACCCGCCCTACGTCAAGAACCCCACACTTCGTCACAAAAACTTAACTCGAACCTTCCCAGCTTTCCTAATCATCACATTCCTTCTCTTCACCAGCTCAGGTACACCAGCGTATGTAAACAAAGAAATAACCCTTCCTTCCTTCCTTCAATCATTACAAACAGCTCCCGGTATCACTTCCAGTATAATCCCCCCTTTTTCTCTCTCTCTCTCTCGAAAATCCAATAAGAGAGGCGGGCACTGCTCTATACACACCTAGGTTATAAAAATATGATCCTAAAGACCTTACATAACTAAATCAATTATACGAATAGTTTAGAATAATTAATACTTCTCACTCCTACTTAACCTAGATGAAACGGAACAATTGATTCAGTTGTGCTAGACTTTTGGTATAATAACTTTTTGTAGCGTGTAGAGAGTAATGCCCCCTCTTACTCTCTTACAGTGTCACGTTCAAACGTAAGATTGCTGTAGTAACCTTTCCTCTCCACCTACCCCAAAAATTCAAGAGTCTCAAATTTCCGTCACAGACGGACAACATTTCGCACCTACCGTACCAATATTACTTTTCCCTTACTACAAGTACCTTTCCTCGAATTCCAACATGTTCGTTTACCAACAGTATCTTACTATCTTCTACCCCAAAATTCCTCCCATACCGTTCATACCTACACTAGAGACTTCCATTTCCTCCTCAAACTCAAACCCACATTCACCACCCAGAATCCCATCCCATTCATTCCATACCATCCCCCCTACCCCTCAATAAAAAATCCCATACCATTTACAAAAAACTCTCCAATACACTATCCAATACGGGCTCTTCCATAGTATCCATACCATAAACAACCCCCTATAACCCGTCGTAACCCCCCCAATCCCCGGTCCTCAAACCAATACTTGATAGAAAGCCCCTTTAGCTTCGCACCGAGAATTAGTAAAATTTAAATAGGTACAGAATTAGGAATAAGTTATAGTATTATCTCGGTACAGTAGAGAATCTTCTTTACTAGTATAGATCTCATATCTCATATCTCATATCTAAGAGTAGTAACACTAATACGATCATCGTACCACCTTTACTCAAAACAATTCGAAGTCTATAAAGCTTTAATTAAGCGACGAAAGCAAAAGATTCATGTTTCTCTTATGAGTTAGGAACCCTCTTTAGAATTCCAGAGCCTATCTAACAGAACTAAGTATTCTATCAATAAGGTCGTCTGGAATATTCTATGGGATGGAAGGGTGGAATCAGTGATGGAATCGAGTGTTATTTGTCGAATGCTGAGGAAGAGTGAGAAGATTAATAAGCGAGGTGCTGGTTTTACTAATTACTAGACGATGGACAAGAGGGACAAGAGGGATAGCTATTGCTATACAAACACCTGGGTAATAAAGTTATCCTAGAAGTCTCGTACAACTAAATTGGGTTTGCGAGAAGGTTGGGATATTTGACATTTTCCACTTTCTATCGGTTCCAAGTATGCTGGGACGATGAAATTTTAACAAGCTTTGGAGATTCTTTTTTAACATAGAAATGTCATTAACCTAAAGTACGGGCAGACTGTTATTCTTATACACAACGGAATCGATAAAGAGTCAAGAAAAATAGTGAGTAAGACACTGAGAATCGCAAGTGTAACTGACAAATCAAAGTCATCGAAGAAAATTTTGTATTATCACAAGGTATTCTCAACTCCAGCTATAAAATACCCATTATGAAAACCTCCAAGCGCATACCTCACCATACCAAACCCACCCTCATAAAGCCTTGCTTCCTTCAAACAACCCTTCAGGCAACATTCGACTCCAACCATTCAGCCCACTGCTTTCCCGTAAAGCTTGAACTGATACTATTCTCTACAACGCCATCAAAAATGACCGTTGGAGAGACATGAACACCAACAAGTCGATTCATCTTAATCAGAACCTATCATCTCATCTCATCAGCATGTCCTTTCTTCCTTATCCAATATTCCCGCCTCTACCCCATCCCTCATCACATCCCCAAGAAGAAAGCAGGAATGGGAAGAAGAAGAAAGACGAACCTTCAAGTTATTCGTAACCCCATTGCCGGTGTTAAGACTTCCATCCTCACCAGGTTTATCACTAATAAGTAGCAATTTCAAGAGAGAATCTTCATCAACTCCCGCCTTAGCACCCAACTTCGCCAACCGGCCATACGTCTGATTCCTCGTCTCATTCACAACATTAACATCATAATAACTCTTCGCATCCTTAAACAGAATCTATATCTCATCAGCCCTCATCCTTCCCCTTCAGCCCCTCCCTCCCCTCTTTCCCTAACCCCCCAAAAAACAACCCCACCAACCAACAACCAAAAACAAAAAAACTCACATCACTAAACCCCCAAAAGTTCCCCCCAAGTTGCACCACCCCAACAGCAGCCTCATGCACCAAAGTACTAGAAGGATGCCAAGGCTGCACCTGCTGTCTAAACACCACCTGCACTTTATCTGCGTACTTCTCTCGGATCAACGGGAAGACCTCGCTGTAGACTGTGTTGAACATCTTTGCTGAGAAGGGACAGACGTAGTCGAGGAATAGCTCGAGGGTGTGTAGTGTTTGGGGTTGGGAGAGAGCTGAGAACTTCTGGGCGGCGAATTTGGGGGCGAGTGCCATTTTGGTGGGGGATGGGGAGTTGATAGTTAGGGACTTTGGGGGATTTTGGGATTGTGAAATTGTTGGAGGTGTGTGTGAAGGAATGGGTGTTTGTGGTTGTTGTTGGATGGCGGGGTTGGGAGGGGTTATGTTGTAATTTAGTAGCGTGCTGGAGGAGCTGTACTCGTACTTGCCAGGTTTAGGGAGACGCGCCCTCTGACGTGATATGCAAGGTGATTGCCATCAGGTTCCTTCGTTATCAGCACGTGTACTTGAGTTTTCTGTAGGTAGGTACCCGGGCGTCGACCTACTCTCCTGGTCGACTAGAACAGTGGCAGAGATTCATTTTTGACCAATAGTATAAGTTAATTCTAGATATTAAAATGTTTAAAATGTCTAGAACAATTGCCTTCATTGTCCTATCGTTTTGGATTACTCGAGTAATCATGTTGGTTATTCCAAATAAATAATATAATAGAATCGTTTTTACTCAGGTACTCGTAAGTTGGACAAAGATAAAAAGAAGTCCCTGCAATTTTTCTTGTCCGCTAGGATGCGCTCTACTTAGTATAAATCAAAATGGAAACCTTTTAAGTGACTTCCAAATTAAGATTGGCACCACAAAAAGCGCCATTGGCTTCCAATAGTACGTAGCACTGAAACGAAGAGACTTAGCTCATCTACAACTACCAAGAAACTCGAATAGTCCCCAGCAACTTGGATTGTATGGTATCGCTTCCGTTTTTCATTACTACTATGTAGGTATTTCATAACCAATCATCATCGCTTTGGAACGCTGTAGGTATCCAATCCATCCTCAATCCAATTATACATCAGGCGGTATTATTATTCGCTCGTCAGGAAAACAAAAACTCTTTCAGCACAGGAGAGCTAGAAAATTCCGGATTCAACAGTATACAACTGTAAAGATAAACTGTCAGCATAACTCCATCCGCAAAGATTGATATAGAGACACCCACTTTAAAAAGTGATGTAGACCCGCCCTCCTATTCTCCAGGAATTTCGGTCTAAACTTCGATATTACGCTCTTGCGGGGCATCGCTGGCATAGCAGCCTCGGAGTATGGGAATGTTTGAATGAGTTTGTGTCTAAGGTCATCGAATTCAGAGTATCGTTTTCGAATATGCAAGCTGCCGCCCTTTTGTTGACAGTCAGTGCTACATTGATGTTGTTGTTGTTGTCTTATGGAGTAGTATTTACCTGCAGCGTTTCCACATTGACGTTCCATACTACAAATGCACCAAGCCCAGTCCCAACAATGGTATAATTTTCAACAAGTACGCTCTTTGCCCAGCATGCTCGGTTCCTCGAGTCGTCACCATCCGTGTTGTCCTGTAGGGTAATGCCGTCCTTTACGAGGGAATCTACCGAGACATTGGAAGAGGACCGCTGACGGGAATCACTATGGGAAGCAATCCAGTAAGGCGGGGAAGTCGTGGAAGGGGAGTTTATGCAAGAATCGCCGTCAACACTGTCGCCGGTAGCGGGATGGTCATGATTATTCGGTCGTGTCTCGATGCTTCCAACCTTTCGTGCACCGGCTTTGGTAGCACGCAGGGTAGCGTCGCTAGGGCTCTGAGTTGCGGCCTCCATCCATTTGTCGGATGGCTGGGCAACACAATCAAGATAAGTGGTGATGTTCTAGTTCGTTCTGGTGTGGTGCAGGGTCTAGCTCTCGGGGCGGGTTTGATATTGATGGTGGTTGAGGCTTTTTGCCTTTGCCTTGGTGAGGTGCAAGCACAGGTACAGGCGCAGCGTGGACTGCTGTATGGTTCGGTCGGTCGGGATAAGAGATGCAAAGGCAGACAATGCACAGCGGCTTTGTTGCCGCCTTGCCACCTTGAAATTCGGTTAGAGAAGCTCGGGAGTGGTGGAGAGGTCCCGGATCCAAAAATACTTCGAAGTACTTCGTACGAAGTAGGAGAGGAAAACACTCTCCGGGAGGATACGACATTTGCACTTCTGTGCACAGGAATCAGGAAGGACACTATTCTCTACTAGGTATTTATGTATATATGGGGCCGAGACCGATAGTCCGTGATTTTCATTCGGATGGAGCAATGAGTTGCCCCTGGCTGGTGTACGAGTATCGTGTTCGATGCCGTGTGTTGTGTCTGTGTAGGACTGGTGCAATACGAGGAATACCATCAATTGGTGCTTTCGTCATGGCACCGAGCTGTCAGTTCACTCTCCTGCCGATTACTTTGTAGGTGAAACACTTATGTACAATTAGGCTCAGCTTACGAAGTGCGAGGCGAGGCGAGGCGAGAGGACGGGCAAAACAAAACCTAGCTGCAGATCCAAACTGCACAAATGTCGAAATGTTCTAGTACACGCCCGGGGATGCCTTGTCATTGCATATCCCTTTGGAATGGCAGCTTGCCATTGACTGAGATTGCGGAGAAAGTAAAGCGAACCCCACTGGTTTCCTGGTCAGAAAGCGGCACTCCATCCACCCAATAATTCAATCAATACGAGTAACCAAGATATTCTCGTACTAAAAGTGCAGAATATCCGGCAATTGTAGTCTTCCAAATCTCAAACACTTGTGCTGCTATGCAGAACTATACGAGCCTGGAATATAGCAAAAGTGTTGGAAAATGCATTGTGAAATGGCCGAAAGAAATTCCGCTCCACTCTCCTTATCATGCGAGCTCCATAAAAACAGTCTACGGTCTGAGAATGGTCAGGGAGCTTGGATATCAAAAAACCAAGGTTCGACTCGTCGTTGCCATCTAAGCTTGGGGCCCCCGACTACCTAGACTTTTCTGACTACCGCTCTACTCGAGCACAGTTCGACGGTTCGACATATGGTGAGGTGATGGACTAAATATAGTGATGGAGACTGGTTCAAACTTGCAGTAGTTTGTCCACTATACCAGTCGTATGCGGCAGAGAATACGTAGACCTGCATGGACAAACTCTTAATACGAAGCGAAAGATGGAGGGTGACTTGACTGGAGTGAGGAGAGGGTGGTGAGAGTGGAGGTTGGTGAGGGTTCGGACAGGAGGTTGGAGGAAGGAGTGGAGTGCCCAGCTGCGCCAGGGCCAGGGGTATTGGTGGGGCAATGGCAAGTGGGGGCCTCCGTGAGAATTCGACTGCTTCCATTGGTCCTGCCTCCCAGATCTGTGCAAGGGTTGTTGACTTTCTTTCCGACTTAAGGACTCGTTCCTTCCTCACTTCGATCTTACTTTTCTGTCCTCGTCCTCGTCCTCCCTCGTACCTTCTACCAGTTCACTCTGTCTGTCGTTGACCTACCGTACGCTCAATCCGGAATCATCTAGCAATTCGCATCTTGGAAAAAGGAAGAGAAGATCAACCATTCTAATCAATCATCAATCCATCCATTCCTCGCTTCGCTTTGCACTTACTCCCAAAAGGTACGACATTCACCTGCACATTCCGCCTCATTTCCCCGCCGAAGAACGTGGCTATTCTATATTCACTCCAAGTAAACAAGACAATCCGGGATTACAGCTAACAGGCCTCCAGATATTAATTCCAAACCCTCTCCGAACTCCCCATCCCCCAACTTTATAATCATACGCTTCCGACAAGATGCCTTCGTACAAGTCCAACCTTGCTGTTCTAGCAACTGCAATCTTCTACTTCAGTGGAGATGCTCAGGCACAATATAACATCGATCCTAAAACCGTTCCTCTCGCCACTCGTCAATCTTGGTGCACCTCCCAACGAAGTGCTTGCCCATTGCTCTGTATGCAATTGACTGGAACTTCCTCCACCACCCGAAGAAACGACTGTGATCCTGTATGTATTGCCTGTCAAAACATTGAATGCCCATATCTAATTTCTACCAGCCAACTCTTGTTTTCAACTGCATCTGCGGTAATGGATTAGCACCAAACGCCTCCGAATTCTCTCAAACAATCCCATACTTCGAGTGCACAGAGTTCGGTTCCGCCTGTGTTAGAAACTGCAATGGTGACGCAACATGCCAGTACAACTGCAGAGCCGACAACCCATGTGGTGCACAAAACCCAATTAAAGTAAACACATCAACCATTACCACAATGTCAGCAACAGCCACAGGAGGCCCAGGACAAGCCACAAATGCTGCTGGTGCCTTCACTGGCCTCGGAGGAGCTCCAGCAGAAACAGCTGCTGCCGGTGGAGCAGCCGGAAGCAGTGGTGCTGAGTCTGCTTTGAACTTGGGAAGATCATATGGTCTTGCTGTTATTTTCGCAGGTGTCTTCGCCGGATTTACATTGATTATGTAAATGAGGTCTGGGTTTGGATGACTTACATCATGATTGGAATGCGAAAACGCATCTCTACATGAACCAGTCTTTTGTTTTTATTGGTCGTTGCATATGTTAGGTCTTTGAGCATTTTAGCGTTGTCTCCACCTCTCCATTTCGAGAGCCAAAATTGGGGCATTAGGGTAATAATGTTTGGCCATGGGGTGCCATCCAAAAACCTTCTTAATACAGTAATGAGAATAGTGATTGGGGCACAAGCAGATGTCACTCCTTAGGTACTGGGGATATTGTCACTGTGGATAGTGGACAGTAAATGGTAGCTGGGTAGCTTATAGAAAAATCCAAAAAGTCTATCCGCAATTTTTCCATATCCGGGGCATGAAATTACATAAGTGTGTGATGTGACGAGTTACATGGTGATTTAATTATATTGTTGTGCCAAGATTGTACAATCGTACGAGTTCCATCATTGATTTGAATAGCAGTTACGCGGAGCATCATCCTAAATTATTTGTGCAATTCCCATAAACATTGCGAGTGGGGATCCAGAAAGCATTCTCATAAACATACTGAGTAGGATATTTCTAGAAGGACTGTACAAATGCAGTGCATGGTTCGAACTTCCTAGTATAAGTTTGTGCTACTCAAGTGCATCGATATGACTCGGATACTTGAATGCGTCATCTGAGTCAAGGACCTCGAAATTTTCATTCCGAAAGAAACAAAAACTTGCTTAAATTGTTCAGTAAATCATAGCTGTCAACTTGGAGGATAATTGATGAGGTTATCTTTACTACTACTGTACCTATCAAATCCAATCAATCGATCCATGGTATTGGGAGTACCGTCTGATCCTTGAAAGTACCTCACTCTCGCCTCAATCAAATTGACGTACGGCATGCAGTAGGTATGCGGGAGATCAGGCGACTCGCTACAGTAGATATTTCCATTTGGGTCATGTGGAATCACCTGGAAGGGTGAGGAGTTTTGTACTACGGTAAAAGTACAGTACAGAAAGTATGAGGTAAGGAAAGTGAAATTTTATGTTTGCTGAAGAATACCTAGGTAGTTGTTGAACTGGGCGGAAGACTGGATGTGGGCGGTGGTTCAATATTCACATGCTACTGCTGTAGCTTCGCTTCTTTTGGCGGCTCTTGATGCGGCTAGCTTGATTAGCCAGGGGTTGAAAAGGAGGTTGAGGTGATCTGCATAGGTACGGAGAGGTACGATAAGGGGTAAATCTCTATGTTGTGATTTTGGGGGTTTTTTGGTGCTGTAAGGTAATGTGGAGGGATTTTGTAGTGAGAATTTCGGATAAGCGATCTGGCGATTTCTGTTGAGGGGATTGACGTTGTCGTTTTTGCTTTTTTTTTCCCCTTTTGCTTTTGGCGGGGTTGCGGGTTTTGAGAAGATACCCCGTACTCGAGCTCAGGTCTGTAGCATTCTGAGGAAGAGGGTAAAAGGAATGGAATCCTGGCAGATGGGCAGAATTAAAAGAACCAAGAGACGGAAAATTCTGGCGTATGAATTTAGCCATTCACAGGAAAGATATCTTCAGTGTCATCCATCACATGGCTGCCGCGGGAGTACTAAACAATCACCGCTCCTGCGGAACCAACGTGCGTGGATTTAAGGTGAGGACCCTTGTCCCCAGAAAATGGAGTGGAGTACCCATCTTTCCTAAGTTGAAGCTTCTGTCAGAACAGAAACATTTCTTCACTTCTCGCAGCTTCTCACCCAGTCAACACTCTTTAAAAGTGTCAAAATTATATACACCAGACCGCCAAGCTCGGAGCGCAATCCGACTACAAGCTATCCAAAATTCGGTCCTCACTCAGCCTGCTGTCGGTGGACACCAAGCAACCTCTTCTGCCTTCACCGGTTACCACACCTACCTCTCCCATGGCGCCCAGCAAAAGTACGTGTCTCATGGTTCTATCCTTGATTGACGGATGGTCGCGCTGACATTGTGGGGTTGCAGGCGAAGCTGCGCATGAGTGCGTCTCTGAAGAGGCATTGATTCATCTAAAGTCCTACAAATACTCCAGCGTTGATAAATCCCTGATCTCGAATTATATCCTCATACATTACGTACGTTTCCCGACCTACTCTGGAGTCGCAAAGAAGGTGTGCTGAGAAACTTATAGTGGAATGGGTTTGTTAAATTACTGCCGTTGTGGCTTGCGCCAAACATGGTTACTTTATTGGGATTCTTCTTCATCCTCTCGAACGTCATATGTTTAGAAATATGGATGCCAGATTTGGTCGGGCCGGTAAGATATACGATTTCCCTGGCAGTGGTAGATCAGAAATGCTGATTGAACGATAGGGGCCATCATGGTTATACTACAGTTTTGCATTTGGGCTTTGGATGTACTCAACTATGGACAATGTAGATGGAAAACAAGCTCGGCGAACCGGAACCTCCAGTGGGCTAGGCGAACTATTCGACCACGGAATCGACTCTCTGAATTGTACCCTCGCGAGTTTGTGCGAAACGGCAGCCATGGGATTGGGAACATCGAAGGCTGGGGTTTTCACCGCTCTGATTCCTTGTCTTCCTATGTTCTTCTCCACCTGGGAAACATACCATACGCATACCTTATATCTTGGAGTTTTCAATGGACCAACCGAGGGACTTATCCTCGCCTGCACGTTGATGATACTTTCAGGATTTTATGGACCAGAAATCTGGACTCACAAGATTACGGATTTGGTTGGACACCATTACTTTTTTGGATATCATGAATGGTTCGGGACCTACTCTGTTCGGGATCTTTGGGTACCAATCCTTCTGGTATCACTTTTCGGAGCCCATCTTCCATTCTGCGTCGCCAATGTTGTAAAAGCACGAAGAGCTCAAAAGCTTCCAGTCATGCCTGTTTTCCTCGAATGGACGCCAATGATTGTTTATACCGTTTCCATCGGGACCTGGTTATACTCACCATATTCTACACTCATGGAAGAGAACCGACTTGTTCTTTTCTGCCTTACTATGTCTTTTGTTTTCGGCCGGATGACCACCAAAATCATCTTGGCCCATCTGACCAGACAACCATTCCCATACTGGACGGTCATGCTCACTCCTCTTGTTGGAGGAGCTGTGCTTGGCAATCTCCCACGATTTGGCCTTCCAGCAGTCAGTGCTTTTGTCGAGTTATGGTACCTTCGAGCATACTTCGTTTTTGCGGTTGTAGTTTACTTCCGATGGGCATACCTTGTCATCACCAGTATCTGCTCCTACCTAGGAATCAACTGCCTTACCATTCCCCACGAGAAACTCGAGGAGATCCAAGAAAAGCAAAAAGCATCCGCAAACACCAGCGGGAGGAAACGAGCGGACTAGACGAATGACCAACATGTCGGGAAGCATACAATCCATCCTCGAATTGATGCTTTTCCCTTTCCCCATTTCTAATTACGAGGAATTACGACCGTCATGAGCTTTTGGGTGGTATTATTAATAGAGAGAATCCGTTTCTTTTTTACGTTTCCTTGGATTCTCTTGAAATGAGGGCGAGGATGAATTTTCACGTATCACAAAAGCATTCTTTGCATTGCATTGGCGGGGGGCGTTTCGACGAGGGAGACTTTGAAGAGGATTCTTTATTTGTTCTCTTGACGTGACGGGATGAATGAATGGCCATAGTTGTTTTTGTATAATTTTATATTGCATAATTGTAAAGACTTGAGAGGAATCGAAATAGATTTGGAAAGCCAATAGATCGTTCAGCGTTTTTTTCTCAGCTTTTCTCTTTTCATTTTGTTGGATGAATTGACCTTGTTCAAGTGCCTCGAGAGTGCTTCTTCTACCTTTCATTGAGAGGGGGCTATTGTTCACCAGACAATGTAGAGACACCCAACCACTGTTCTTGAGTCAGAACAAGAAGTCCATTTTGCATTCACCACCTTTCTCAAAACCCGTCCTCGAGCATCGAGAAACTCTATTCAATCGGTGCCTCTTGCTGTTTGCGATCCGATGAATCGCCTAACCCTCTTGTATCCACAAACAAGGCTGGACCTTGGATGCTTGGAAACCCACGTCATCCCTGACAACATGTTGCTGGTGAAGGAGCCATTTCACTTTGCGGGGGGGGGATTACAAGCTAGCATATTTATTATAAAGGGGAGGGAGGTACCTTTTTGCGCGGTTAGTAAATGATTTTCTCTTTTCCGTCACAGTCAGCAACAGGAGAACGCCGCCTGGACGCCCGCCCGAGGTCGAACGCAAACAGGCAACGCAGCGGCAAGCTGGCTGCGCCCGGATAACTGGATACAGTAACATAACCACGGCACTGGACAAAAATAACGTTGGGTCTCCTAGTGCTGCAACGCAACAAACTCTTGTTTATTCACTGCGCAATTCTCATGGCGTAAGATCGGGGTTTCTTTCGGCTTTTTGTGATTCATGGCGAAATACAAAAACGCCTCCGAATATACAGATACAACACTCTGGCCAAACTGGGTACTGCAAGTACGAATATCTCGACAACTAACCTTCGGATAGTTATCAGAGATCCGGAATATTCGCTGCCACACTGCCAAGCTTCCACGTTGTATCCCACATCTCACCTTGGCACGGCTGGTGAGATGGAGGCCCCTCTATCTACCAGCTCTCCCGGACCCTCCGTCACAACCCTCAATCATACTCGTCCGCTTTCCGCGATAGACATCTACCCCAAATCGCATACGTCCAAGGCACAATCGGTGTCTACGAATTTTTCGGCGAGATCCTCGCACCAGGAATACCTCGATAGTCTGGAATTGCCGTCGCATGAGATGGTGGAGAAGATTAGTAAGGTCCAGGAACACAAGGAGGAGGAGGTGCTGAAGAAGAACTTGAAGGCTGAGCAGCCGGAGCTTAGTGAGGATGAGAGGACGCGGGCGGCTGGTCTTATTCAGAGGAATTATAGGGGACATAGGGAACGGAGGATGTTGAATGGGATGAGTTTGGATCCGAGTAGTCGCTGGGTGGAGGCGGTTAAGGAGGCAAGGTATAGAAATCTTGTGCAGCCCAGAGCGAGAGGGGATACGATTGCTTCGCAGGTGAACAATGAGAGTTCCGGGTTGGGACAGCTGGGGGAGGGGACCGATGAGGCGGCGCAGAGGCATAGGAGGATGAGTAGTGCTAGGCATAATTGGATGAAGATTGGGAGAATTGCTCGGCGGGCGGGAGGTGACGAGGATTCTGGGTCTGAAGAAAGCTCTGATGAGGAAGATTTGCCTGAACATGAACGAGAAGCTCGGAGGAAACGAAGACTTGAGCAGAAGCATGAACGACAGAAGGCTGCGAAGGTTATGGATCTGCAGTATTTCCTCGAGATGGTGGATTTGAAACATCGATATGGGAGTAATCTAAGGACTTACCACGAAGAATGGAAAAAATCCGACACAACCGAGAATTTCTTTTACTGGCTCGACTATGGCGAGGGGAAATTGATTGATATCCAAGCTTGTCCGAGGGAAAGATTGGAAAAGGAGCAAGTACGGTATCTGTCCAAAGAAGAGCGATTGCATTACCTCGTTAAAATCAATAAAGATGGAAGATTGTGTTGGGCAAAAAACGGTGCTCTGATAGACACGACGGAAAAGTATAAAGACAGCATCCATGGCATTGTTCACGACACAGATGATACACCGGCTTATGCGCCATTAGCAGGAGAAGCAGTACATCACTTACATCACTCGGCACATTCCACGCCTCGCTTCGATTCTCATACATCCACATCTAGCTCCTCCCAATCTTCTGATAATGCATCTTCTCGCGCAACGAAATACGCCAATCCGGAATTCAATAATGCCAAAGGTGTCAAGAAAATCAGGCATGTCTCTGCCGCTACAATCTTCAACAAGTTGCTACGGGGAAGTGTGAAAAAGAATACATGGATTTTTGTGGCGGACACGAGTTTTCGACTCTATGTGGGCATTAAACAAAGTGGCGCTTTCCAGCATTCGAGTTTCTTGCATGGGAGTCGGATTTCTGCTGCTGGCTTGATCAAAATCAAGAATGGCAGGTTGAGCAAATTGAGTCCCCTGAGTGGGCATTACAGACCACCAGGTTTGTTTTCCCTTCGCCTAATTTTCCCCTGAATATTTCGCTAACACCACCTAGTCTCCAATTTCCGCGCCTTCGTACACTCCCTTAAGGATGCCAACGTAGACATGTCCCACGTCTCCATTTCGCGCTCCTACGCCGTTCTAGTTGGTCTAGAAGCCTACGTCAAAACTCGACGACGTGGCAAGAAATTGTTGCAGAAGATCGTGCATCATAAGGATAAAATGCTTTCTCCGGAGGGAGTGGCTAAGCGAGAAGAGCTAGAACGGGATAAAAGTCAGAGCGCAGCGAGGGAGAAGGAGCATCTGGCAAGGATTCAAAGAGAAGAGGAAGAGAGTGGAGAGAGTAGAGTTGATCGCAGACTAATGGTTAAGCTGGGTGTGAGACCGAGGAGTTCGGGAAGTCATCCTAGTAGTCCTCGAAGTCCTAGATCTGAGGTTGGATCGGGACCGGGGAGTAGAGATGGGAAGAGTGGTGGTAGCAGCGGGGATGGAGGGAGGATTGATGGGGTGCTTGCTGTGGATGATGTGGATGGGAAGGGGAAAGATAGGGAAACCCATCCAATCATTCAGGGTTCTCATCCTACTCTTCAGACTGGCGATGAGTTTGAGAAAGGCAAAGGGAAAGGGAAGGAGCCTTTACCCGATCCTGATATTCAGGCTCCTGGCCCTGGACCGGAGAACGCTATTGCACCCGAGGGGACGAGAGATACTTAGGTTTTCTCGAGGTGTTTGATTAAAAGAAGGGGGGGTTATTGTTGATATTTTTCTCACTCTTCTTTTTTTTTGTTGGTCGATTTTTTTTTCCCTTTTTCTTTTTAGCGAGATACCCCGAGAACGATGATGAAAGCGATGCGCGATGCGTTTTTGGTATATATCTCTGGGCTTGGTTTTGCATTGGTTACGGGGTATGAGTGATGATAAGGGATTGGGATTGGGATTATGATTCAAGTCGGAGGAGTCCTTTGGTATATAAAGATAGGATAGGATAGGATATGATAGGATAAGAATTGGTCTAAGGTTTTTCTATACATTTTCTGTTCCCGTTCCTTGTTCTTTGAAATAGAGTAGATGGTATTGTGATGCTTAAGTCTTTCTTTTTCTGGAATGCTTGTGAGTCGATGCTAGGTGGGATCTATCTAGGTTACTGTTTTACCACACGTGAAGATGTATGGCGAGATGGGTGCGAGGAGGTAATGCATGGATGGAGTGTGATGGATAGGCACTGGTTGGAGTATATGTAGTTGATGGTAGGATTAGAGTATCGCTGATCGAAGTTATTCTTTCCTTCCTCTCTATTTCTGTTTCTCTCTACTTGCGGATTGATACTGATAGGAAGGATGAAGAAGAAAGGATTTTTATAGAAACTGCTTCTTAGCCACCGAGTGCTTGGGCTTGGGGGTTAAGACCTCTTGTATGTTCCTAACTTCCTGGACGCTATACCTTGGCTATGGCCTGTTGTTCTTTTTTTTTCTTTCTTTCTTTTTGCGCAAGAAGAGATGTGAGGGGAGGGACGTGGTAGAGCGTAATTCGATTCCCTCTCCCACTCCCTTGTCTAATACTTCAAAGATTTGCCGCTCTAGTAATTTGGTGGTAAGACAGTCCTTGATGTACTCAGGCGGTGCAGTGTACTATGTGAATTTCTGGTCCGTTCTGGATTTTCGAGGCTACTGCTACTTTTTATATTCTCCCTTCTTGTAAAATTCAAGAATAGCGGGGTAGGTTGATAGGGTGAGGGTCGTTCGAGGATTACTTGTGTAGAGCCTGGGGTAAATGGTTTTGTGGATGGAATTCGCTTGAGTTAGAGGGAGTAAGGATGTACATGTTTGGTGGGGTTTCAGTGGCGGGATGCTATGCGATGTTGTGTTGTGGGGGTTATTGGTTTTAGAGTGATGGTTTTAGAGGATGGGCTGGGAATGCTATTTTATCGATGATGGATACTGTAGTATAGCAGGTTGTAGAAGGGAAGTGTTTAGGGCCCGAAACCAGATGTATCAGAGATATTGGCATACTTCGTTCTGTTCGGGGAGGTAACAAGCTTCAAAATAGATTGCTGTAAAAACCGCGCGAAGTAACTACATTCACCCCCTTCGCACTCATATCCTTAAGTAACACCCCTCACACCAAGCCGTCCGGTACATGTCTGAGTAGCTTAATAGAAATATTGAGTGAGAGCTTTACTTGAAGATTGACTAGTCAAACCGCAAAAACCTCAGTTCGTCTGGTTATTAGTCCTAGACCGCCCTCTTTGAGGGTGAGGATTTTTTTGATATTCTTTTTCAGGGAGGTTGGTTATGCGGGGTCTTTGTTTTTTTTTGGAGGGGGTGGTGGGGGAGCGAAACCGGCCATTCCACTATTCTAATAATCAAACATCTCTCCAAGCCATGGATTCACATACGATCGCTTTGCTTAAGGTGGATCTGCAAGAGACCCGCGGGAAACCTTACCCGGAAAGGAGTCCGGATATGCCTATACACTAGATGAGGTCACTAATGATCTCTACGAACTGATCAAAACACTTTCTCCTAATCAATCTTCTCGTATTATCTTTGTTAACAACAGTATCGGAGCACATGTTACACGAAGATATGCTAACAGGTAAGCGGGAAATAACTTAGTCTATTTATAACTAGTATTAGAGCTAACTCAAATTTCCTTTTAAGGGTTTCCAACTATTGTTGAAGGCATCCTTTTCCTTGACTCAAACCCAGGAAACAGCTGAGAACTTGCGAAAAGAGGGGTATTTTTGGGAGGGAGGAAGATCCGGTCGTTGATAGCTACTTAAGAATAGAAGGAAAGCTAGGATACACAGCAAAAGAGCCACTATATATATCACTTTGTTAGTTAGAAGACAGTAACAAGGGGTTAATATAGACACTTACACCATTTTCGAGGCAGCCAATCGGTCCTCGCACCGCGCTCGTCGTAGATAATATATACTCACAGATGTCTCGACCGACTTGGAATGGACCGGTTTGAGAGGAGCGGGAACCCTATAGGTATGGAATCTCAATTAGTATCTCTACTTTTCAGACTAGAGTGATAGAATAATATTTATTGTAACCAAAAGTGAAAATTAAGTTCGTGGTAGAAAAGGTAGTACGTACACAGAAGACATCGCTGTTACATCCAGTGCTATCAGCTGGGAGAGGAAATCCGTGTTGCGTGGTAAAAGTTGTGACTGCTGATACTGTCGTGGCCAGATAGGCGACGGTTGTGATAATAGCTGCGAATTACATGGTTAAGGAGATCCGAGATTCTAAACAATTCACAACGATCGCGCAGTATAGTTTAGGTTCAAATATTCAGATAACTTAAAGAATGAATCGGTGCGAGGGAACCAAGTTAATTAGATTGTTGAAGAGCTGGGATATCTAGTGTTTTTATACCTCGTCCTAGCCGAGATAAATGTCGTTTTACTAGGGTTGCTACAGTGAGGTTGGCAACAGGGTGAAAACCCCTGAGAAGATTATATTTATCTCGTCTGGGACGAGATGGATTTACGAAGTAGGCGGCTACGATCCTACAAAAGACATGGGTATCTAACACATTCTGATACGATAACCAAGGTCTCCTGGTTACATGATGCTGTTTCGTCACCCCAAGAGCGGACGCGAGTTCTCGGCCCTACTAAAACTAGCTTAATGTATAAAAATGGGTCCACATCGCCTTGAAGTGCTTTTTGATCTGCTCAAAATGCTTTTTCAGGTATCAAAAATAAAGGGTCTGGAGAAACCCCGGGTCACCGAGGGCGGTAAGAAGGGTCCAAAATACGTTTCAACTTGACCAAAGAACAGTTTTAAGGGAACACTTATATACAAGTAAGAATGCCTTGAGCCGTCTGGGACTAATGGCTTTCTGAAAAGTCACGAAGTTCTTGCACAGGTGCTAGCTAACATACTATACTTGTACCGGTACCGGTTCCGCCAGGTGTAATTCAGCGTTCTTGTTTCTCGTGGGAGAATCTAATTTATGCAGTTTCTAGGAATGATCTGGTTCGTGAGCAGCAACGAGATTAACTTTCGTATATTCACTCATACGTGGACCTAGCTAGATGTATACAACTCCCGGAGATCCGGTCTCCTTGAAGTCTCTAACTTCATGAATGCTTGTACATGACCTCATAGTTCCAAATGTCTATATAATCCTTTTGTTTCGTCTGTCAAACTCGTTGCTTACTTGCAATTTCCCTATCATAACAAAAACACATTCTATCCAAAATCCAGTTCTAGTAAAGATGAAGAACATGCTCTTTGCCGCTCTACCTGGCATCCCTCTTCCTAGATGGAGTCGCCGCAGAATGCGCATATATCGGGACAGCTGCATCCTGCCAAATGAGTTTTGATACAACTACGTACGAGAGGAATTTTTGCTGATGTCGGTATTATGGTAGTCCTTTGCACAAAAGGCGGCATATTATGTGAGTTGAATCGAAGTAGGACTGTCTGTTATTTGATAATAATTTTCACGCTTTCGGTACAGTGCACGAAGCCCGGTGACCAAGAAAAACCTGGTGATACTATTAATACTGGGACTTGTGTTTTTGCCTACGAGTCTGGCGGGCAATGGCATTATTGTGTGAGTATCTACTTCGTCCGAAGATATTTCTTGGCTCCTATTTTGGAGATTGTATTAATGGGTGTAGTGCGATATGTAAGCACGGGATGTTACGTTGGAGCCTGAAGGGATTAGGAAGTCGGTTTGGTTAAAGGGGGTTTGAGCTGGCAATTCGTTGTTAGGTGTTTAAAGACTTGGTTTGTGGTCATTGTGCTAAAGGAGAGTGTCTTAGCACTGAAAACGGGGCGAAGAATGGGGTAGATGTAGAGGGTGTCTAGTCAGACAAGTAGTTATTGTAGTCTTTCAGACGCTAGATAGCTCAATGACTAGAGAAACGGATTACGAGTATATGCCTCTTTAACCCCGGGCTCAAAATTTAGATCATTGAATACGTAATTGCCACTGGGGCTCATGCGAATAGAAAAAGTCTTGGGTATTAGACATGTTAGTTTACAGACATGATGTAAGATGCTCATTTTTGATGCTTGGAAGGTATGATCTAGATTCAAATAAGTTATCTGTAAAAGCACCATAAGTCAAGTGACAGAAGGCAGGTAAAATATAACCCTTTTATCCCCTCGTCGTATCATATGTACAGCTGGGATTTAAGTTTGCAGATTTTCTATTCAAGCCATCGGACCGGTCGGAATAATGCCTAGGCGCGCTACGGGGCTTGGTCCGACTGGCTCTGCACCACTCACGTTGAAATAATCGCAATCACTAAGACTAAGAGTGGGCATCTCAAACTCAAACTCCCAGGTGTACGTATGATGCTACGAGGGGATATTTGGAGTAATAAGAAAGTAAGCGAGGCATATTTAAGAACTCATCCTCTTTCTCTCTCTGCCACATCATTGGGATCGCCACTTTCCATTACTCTGTGCTATTCTTGTAGCCAAGAAGTCAAATTCGTAGCTTCCTATACCCTTGAGTACTTGGATTCGTTCCTACGGACATGCAAGCTGTAAAACTTGCCTTAGATGGTTACCAAATACAACGTCTCTTTCTTCTCACGAAACAAATGCAACGAATTCGGCAGTAAAAGGCATTTCGACAGTAGCATGAATGGATTCTGATCTTGGAGGAACTTAGCTCGGTGGATTGGTGTACTCTTTCCAGGGTAATGCTGAGGTTAGTTTCGATGACGAGAACGATATTCATCATGATGTCTACCCGCGATAATACTCTCACCCACCACCCTGAGAATGTGCTGCCTCGGATCTTTGTTCCACACAAACCTAACTTGAAGTCTGATCTTAAACCTGTTTTATATTCACGTTCGTCCTGCTCACAGATGAACGAGGCACATATATGGGACCAGCACCTTGGGGTTGAAGAGCCCCAGGGTGCCACGCGCTCTTTCTATTCTTATTTCTAAAACAGAAATAAAGAGGCTGGCTACAACAGTAGTACAGAAGTAGGGATACAAATGGTGGCGGGCGAGAAAAAAAGAGCCCTAGGGCTCTAGCGTACACATCCTACTCCAAGGATAGGATATGATTACTCCTACTGTATCAACCTCCAATCTTTACGCAGATCACGTGGCAGATGTGGAGTTGGATGCCTTCCCGCTTATTACAGTAAAGAACTTTAACTTATGTTCGCCGTTGATGTCACACCGGGCTGATGCTATACCCTCGTCTGAACGCATCAATTGATTTGAGGATTTATGCTTTGCTTCGCGGTAAGCACTCGTGGCTATTGGGGAGCATATCACTGCACAGGTACTCATAAGCGGGAAGCTGCCCTCATGTTATTTGTTACACAGGCAACTTGTGCACGAAACATTATGTCCTATTATCAACTAATGAGTGTCGTAATTCCATTAACCTTCTATCTTCCCAATCTTGAAACTCCCTATACTTTTATCCTCTGTTTTGTAATCCGATTTATATCCCTTTCTTTCATCATAACATCATCCCAATCTCTATGCACAAACTCCCTTCCAGCGCCAAATTATCTACCCATCCCACCCAATAAAACAAAATAAACTCCATAAGAGAGAGCAGATAGAAAGCATTACCCTCTCTATCCAACATTACTAGAAACCACAACCGGTCCCCCCACCGCCGCACCCCCAAGATAACTCCTAATAGTCGCACTAGTATACCTCGGAATCGTAATCCTCGCCCCCACAGCAGGAAAGCTATACGACACAACCCCCTCACCAACCACTCCCCTCGTCATCTGCCGCTCCGTCGTCTCACTACTAAACCTAATCGTCATCGTCGCCGTCGCGTCCACCAGATCCGAATGCGCGGCTGCAGTCGCAGACCCGCTTTGTCGAGACGCCCAGGTCAGACTATCGATCACGGGGTGATCGAAGACGTTGTTGCTGGGAGCGAAGGAGGTGATGATAACCGTGTCGTTGGTTTTGGTCCCCGAGGGCGTGTGGGTTATTACGACTTGGAAGGTTCGTGGGACGGAGGCGCCGGAGAGCTTGGGGAGGGTGATGCGCGCGTTGGCGGTGTTTGCGTTGGTGAGGGTTACTGTTGGTGAGCCTGGTAGTTGGGTCCAGGCGTAGGTAAGAGAGGAGTCTGGGACGTTGTCGCCAGTTTGTTTTGCGGTGAGGAGGAGAGAGACGCCGCCGAGGGCTTTTACGTCTGCGCCAGCGTCGGCCTTGATTTGTATGGGGTCTGTGGAGGTGGGTGCTGTGGAAGTTGTAGCTGAGGGAGGTTGGCAGTTCGTTTTGGCTGGCACGGGGGCATTCGATCCAGGCCAGGGCTTGAGTTGTCCGAAAAGTACGCCGTCGACAAATCCAAATCCATTCGCGAGGGGACCGATGTTGGAAAAGTCATTTGGTGGAGGTGCTCCACCTGGTGTGACTAGCTCTGGGAAGATCCATTCGGTAACGGGTTGAACATATTGGCCTGCAAGAATACCATCGGTAGTCTGTGTAGTGGTATCACCGATTTTGATGCGGTAGTTGCGAGTGTAGAGTCCGATGTTTGTGCCTCGGGCTATTTCTACCTTCCATTTGTTTCTGGCTGCTCCGTCGGGCGTGGTGGTGGTGAGGAGACGATCGACGACTTCTCCTGTGCAGGGATCTTCGTCGATGGCGAAGATTCGAACGAGAAGATCTGAGCGAGAGGCTAGACCAGTGAACTGTGATGTAGTCAGTATGAGAGACTTTACCGAGAAGGAAGGAATGGAGAATTACTTTGGCGCGTGCAGCTTCGACATTGGGGTCTGCATTTGCAACCCCAATGATGGCATCTTCTACTCGTATAAACCCTGGCTGGCTTCCACTTGTTGTGATATCAATATTTGCAACAAGGTTATAGACGATCGTCTGGCCACCAAACTGAATCCCAGAGTACTCTATGTAATCACCGACTTTGAGGGGAGCCATGTGCAGAGCATCGGAGATGACACTGGATTTCTCAATTAGCATGATTTTGGCTATCAATTTAGGAAAATCCAACTAACCGAGAACCAGCAGGAGGTCGATTGGCAGAAGGACATTTTGGATCATTAGCACTTCTAGGAACACAAACTGGAAAGCCGCTGAAACTTGTGATGGAAGGATTCTCATCGTCCGCAGTGAAGAGAGGAATTGAATCAAAACCAGCACTATATTTGGCATTGGGGTCATTGATACGTAGGGTGGGACCGTTCTCGATCACAATACTGCCATCAAAGCCGAGCGATTTGATGACACCAGAAGCGAAGGCCGCATCAACCTGGTTATAAGTCATTTGACCTGCGATGAAGTTGTCGTTGACAACATTTCCGGTGACCTAAATAGAAATTGTGTTAAATCCACAATTCATGAGATAATCATTGCTAGAGGTACATACAGTAACCTCATTTTGGCCTGGTTTATTGCCTTCCGAAAATTCGGCAAATGGAACGATGGCAGCTGGGAATTCAACTAAAAGATTATCTGGAATTGTGATTGTATATCCAGATATCTTGACTGTGCCACCACGATTGGCAGCCGACCCTGAATTTGGTGATGCACTGAATTCATTAACACAATAGCCTGTTTCGGAATTGCTGTATAACATACCTTTCAATGAAGCCCGTAAAGGTGAAAGGGAGTGCCTGAGCCGCAACGAGGCTCAATTGTCCCACCAAGAGCAGTAAGCTGTAAACAAACATGATGTGTTAACCCGTCACTTTGGTACAAATGACTCGGCAGCAAAATTTCGACGTTCGCGGAAAGAAAGTCCGTGATATAGATATAGAAGGGAATCCGGGGATAAAGAATACTTTATACATCCGCATGCGGAAAACTCCCCATTATAAATAAGAGGATCATCATCACCTTGTTCACACTTGGCAAATGGAGGCCAGACTGCATGATCTTCGATTTATTCTTCTCAATTGGGTACACCAATGGGGCAATGCCAATTTTCAGAGGTATCGGAGCTGGAGAGCCCCGAAGCACTTTCTGTAAAAGGGCTTTGCCAAATTGCCAAATATATACATTGACAGGAACGAGTGACCGATCAGATTTGATGCTTCATATGTCAGGAACTGATATCCTACAGCCCTCATACATGATGTCTCGGGTTCCCAGCTGACGGGCTTCATTGATTCGTCTTGGCGCATTCAACCTGAAGGTGTGGCTTGAATGCGTTTGTTTAAGCGGCTCGGCTAACGAGCTCCTAGAACTGAACGAAGTCTGTAAGCCACACGATCACATAAAGAGTAGGTTCATGATGTGGTATGATACTATAGAGTTGTAAGCCATCAATTCAGCTATTCGTTATGGACCAAATATGATAAATCCTCCGCCAGGCAACGACTTGAATCAACTTTGAGGGGACAGTAAGAGAAATCAATTTGCTATCGGAAATCTGAAAACTTGTATTACCCAACCATTCCTCATATGTTACCTATTACTTTTGTAACGCCTGCTCGTCATAACTCCCCAAACCACAAAAGCCTCCCAAAAACACAGCCCCAATCCAGATACTGGTGAACGTTGTCGGAAGAATACCATGTTGTTACAATTCAATCCTGATCGACATGGTCGTCATCACCACGGATACCACGTCCAGAAGACCCTGATGGCTTCTTGGCCTTTCCTCTGATATCCTGCCAAGTAGCTCCAAATCTTCTCCCAGTACTGGCGAGAAGACCTTCCTCTTCATCCGCTTCTGCATCTTGGTCAAGCTGGCTGAGATCCAATTTTGGGGCTCTGAATAATGATGTGACAAAGACCACGAGGAATATGGTGAGGAAAGCGAATTGGGCCCAGAACGCCAAAGCCCCAAGGACTGGAAAGTTGAAAGTGACCCGATTGAGGAATGTGGAGACAACGGTTGGCGTGCATACATTTTTCGATCCTTTGTCCGATGATAGCTCTGAACAAGAAGTTACAAGTTCAGGGTGATTCGAGCAGTCTGGCTGGTCGCCTGGATGTCTTGTAGGGTTGCTGCAAAAAGTCTGAGCACCGTAAATAGCGTACTGCGGAGCGACAATCATTGCAAGCGAGTAATTGATCGCAAGCATAATCAAGGTCAACATGACAGTTGCCATGAGTAGAGCCTGGGGCGAAGTGTGACCCTTGCGAATCTCGAAAAGGCGAATCCAGAGAAATCGGATACCAACAGCAGCAATACCTGCCACAGAACTACTGAAAAGGAAAAGCACCAAAAGAGCCATCAATACATAATCAACTGGGAAGACGCGTGAAGCTTGAACAAAGATGTAATTGATGGGTTGGAACACATTAATGCTAGAGTCAAATTAGTTTTATAGTAGCACAGAGATTCGCTCAGACCTACCTTCCAAGAACATAACCACAATGTTGCTTGCAGATTGAGTTCTTGGCTTTGTCAATTCCAGTAATCAACATAGATAACCAAATCACAATTGCAAGCAACAAGAGGAGAATGCCTCCAATTAGCTTTAGAGGCCGGAAGATCGCACAAGTTTTGGTCCAAGCCTTGACAATAAAACTCTTTCCATCACCTCGAGCCTCTAAAGCTAGTCGCTCTCGGCGAACCAGAGTGCGCTCTTCGCGGATCAAAGACTCAAGTTCTCGTTGATCCTTTGCAGGCATACCGCCATCTCGTCCAGCATTTCGTCCTTCCAGCTGGCGCTGTCTCTCGCGATTCTGCTCTAAAGCGGAAGCAGTCGTCTCGGATAGTTGAGGAGCGCTGATGGAAGGTGCGGATTTGATAAAGGAGATAGGGAGCAGTGCCAAACCAACGGCAGTATATAAAATATAAAGAAGAGTTCCCAGACAGATAAGCAAACCAAGGGCGAAGGTTAAGGCTCTCTCACCACGATTTTCAGACAATAGACGCTTGAAGTAATCCAAGTCCATGTGCGCTCCACTGCGATCTCTTGCCACTGGTACAAAGAAACCAACCAGGAAGAGGATCACAACCAGCACAACAAATGCCAAGGTATACTTGAGCGCGCCGAAAGCCTTTTGCGCGATGGTCTGGTTTCCTTCTTCCACATCTACCTCGTCGTATTCTTCGTAGTAAAAGTAGGTAAATGGCACTACCAACAAACAGAGAACGGCGTCCAAGCTATACAGGGAATAGTAGACAATCTTGAGCGTGTAAAGGATGTTTTCCACCGACTCCGGAGTTGCCCAATCCTTCTTTCTGCCAAGTTTGGTAGAAGTCGTCGAGCTGACCAATGCGATGTCAACCGGAAGCAGAAGCACGGTTGCCAGGAGAGAAGTGAGGGTGATAATGGTGATCGTTAACACCAACGCCGAGCGGTCCCGCGGGGTTTGGTATGTGTAGGCAAAGATAGCGGCAATGAGGGCTACGAGGCCGACTGCGACGGCGTACGCGACCCAGATGAAGGCTGTTTGGATTAAAGCCATGATTGTGATGCGAGATGCGATCTGCTCTCCGCAGAATACTTTAAAGTGTGAAGGGTGAAGTGTGAAGCACGAAGTGCGGAGTAGATGTGGCGATGGAATCTCGAATCCTCCTAAGTCATGTTGCACCTGTTAGAATAGCTCTCTGCGCCTACTCACAATGGCCTGCAAGACTTACCTTACTCGAGTACTCTACTACCAGTGGATTATTTGGTGTTGGTGATCTGCCAGAGACACTGTGGGGATAGATATTTGAAGAATATCAGTAGTCCAGCAGAGCAGTGTTCCATCAAGAGCAACTCCCAGTAGGCGCAAACAAGAACATTGACGGAGTTGTTCACATTCACGCTGACGTCGTCATCTAAATAAACCTGGAACAGGGTTGGTGGTTAATGCATAACCCTGGAGCATGCTGTAAGAGCAGAGCTCTACACTGCTAATCCCTGTCGTCTTGGCAAAGGGTTCTCAGTGGAGGGATGAGGGCTCTCCACGGTCCACCACTGCAGACAGCGACTTGTGAATGGCTGCGCAAACACAACACCATCCAAACATCAACAATTCCATCACATTCAACCCACTTCAACTTCCCTTTGCTTCCCTTTCCCATTGAGATGCGGCACACGATTTTGTGCTTGCATACCTCATAATGCAATGCTACACGGAGCTGACACCTCCTACAGCTGTCTCTCACTCCCTACGACTTCCTTTTCTTTCCGCCGAATCAAATAACCTGATCGTCGCAAAAACCTCTCTGCTCCAGATCTTCTCTCTCAAGACCATCTCAATTGAAGCGGACGAGCCAACGGAGGAGGAAAAATCGGCCAAGCAGAGTAAAGGGTATGACAGAAGAGCTACCGACGACGAGTCTTCACTCTCAGGCCCTGATGCCATTTCGCGCCCTCCCCCTCAATCCACCAGAACGAAGCTGGTGCTCATTGCAGAATACACACTCTCAGGAACGGTCACATCTCTGGCACGGATCAAGACTCTTTCCTCTAAATCAGGCGGAGAAGCTTTACTGGTGGGTTTCAAAGATGCAAAGCTCAGCTTGGTGGAATGGGACCCCGAACGCCCTGGGATATCAACAATCTCCATCCATTACTACGAACAAGATGACCTTCACGGAAGCCCGTGGACAACAGATGTCGGAGACTGTATCAATTATCTGACGGCTGATCCTGGAAACAGGTGTGCCGCTCTCAAGTTCGGTGCACGGAATCTCGCTATTCTGCCCTTCAAGCAAGGAGATGAAGATGTCAACATGGCTGATTGGGACGAGGAGCTGGATGGCCCGCGGCCAGAGAGTCAAGCAGCAGCGAAAGCTACCAATGGCGACGGTGACAAGGCAGATACCCCATACGGAGCTTCGTTTGTCCTTCGGTTGCCAACCCTCAATCTCAATCTCATCTACCCAATACATCTCACCTTTCTTCATGAGTACCGGGAACCAACTTTTGGCATCCTATCATCTAATCAGCTACCAGCGTCGTCTCTTTTACATGAAAGGAAGGACCACTTGTCATATATGGTTTTTACCCTCGATTTACATCAGAAAGCATCAACTCCCATCTTATCAGTAGGAGGTCTACCTTTCGATCTTTTCACAATTGTACCTCTTCCCGCCCCAGTTGGTGGGGCTCTCTTGGTAGGTGGCAACGAATTGATTCATATCGACCAAGCAGGCAAGGCGAACGGAGTAGCTGTGAATCCGTTTGCAAAGCAGTCGACATCCTTCGCTCTTTTCAACCAAGCAGACCTTGATATGCGGCTTGAATCATGTGAAATTGAACTTTTATCCATACAAAATGGTGAAATGCTGATAATTCTTCAATCTGGTGAGCTCGCTATTCTAAGTTTCCGCATGGATGGAAGATCTGTGTCTGGGCTGAGTATTCGACGGGTTGCAAAAGAGTCTGGTGGTCTAGTTCTGTCTAGCGGCGCTTCAACAATTAGTCAGCTTGGTACAAACGCCTTATTTGTCGGTAGTGAAGGAACTGATTCTGTTGTGCTGGGTTGGACTCGCAAGTCTAATCAGATATCTCGAAGAAAGTCCCGGCTAGATTTTATTGAGGGCATTGATGAGGCACTTCTTGATGAAGAGGATGAAGAAGACGATGATCCTGATGATGAGTTGTATGGCGGCGCACCTGCGACTATTCAAGCTGCCGCCAATCCAGCAGAGGCTACCAGTAGTAAAGCTGGCGACTATGTTTTCCAGATACACGACTCTCTCGTCAACATCGCTCCTATAATAGATGTTGTTCTTGGAAGTTCTGCGCCATATCAAACTGACGAAGAAAAGGGTACATCTGAAGATGTCAGAAGTGATCTCCAATTGGTTGCCGCCACAGGAACAAACAGAGGGGGCTCCTTGGCCATCATTCATAGGAGTATTCAACCTAAGGTTATTGGAAAATTCGAGTTTGCCGAAGCTCGAGGGCTGTGGACGATGTCAGCCAAAAGACCAACAATGAAAGGTCTCCAGGCTTCCAAGGAAAAGAATGTGCTAAGTGGTGACTACGGCAACGAGGCGCAGTTTGATCGGCTCATGGTTGTCTCTAAAAATATTGACGAGACCGAAAAGTCGGATGTGTATGTGCTGACTGATGCTGGCTTTGAGGAGTTAACTACCCCTGAATATTCGTCAGACGTAGGAGCGACCATCGAAGCAGGGACATTGGGTAATGGAATGCGTATCATCCAAGTAGTCAAGACGCAAGTAAGAGCGTATGATGGTAGTGAGTTCTATTTTTCTCTTTGCATCCCTCTTCCAAGCTATATCCCCTTTACCTTGACGAGACGACAAGCACGAACTATTACAGCTTTCTGTGGGATGGCTATGTGGGTCCATCTTTTGCTTTCTGGGGCTATTATGGAATATGTACTATCCTATAGCATCAATGAAAAGCTTTTTACCATCATGCAACTGTGTCATCTGTATCCGCGACGTCTTATTCTATAAATGTATCAATCATGATCAATGCTGACATTGTATTCTCAGATCTTGGCCTAGCACAAATCCTTGAAATGGAGGATGAGGACACCGGCGTCGAACCAAATATTGTCAGCGCCAGCTTAGCTGATCCATTTGTATTGTTGATCCGAGACGATGCAAGCATCTATGTTGCAAATTGCGATGAAAGTTATGATCTTGAAGAAGTTGAGAGAGAAGATGAAGCTCTTTTGAAAACGAAATGGCTCACTGGGTGCTTGTATAAGGACACTACAGGCGTATTTGCCACCAGTCAATCAGATGCGGCACAGGAATATGGGAAGAACGTGATGATGTTTCTACTAAGTGCCGGCGGTGCACTCCATGTAAGAAAATGACTCTCGGGCCATCCGATGAAGGTGCTAATGTTGATAGATTTACGCTCTCCCCGATTTATCAAAGCCCGTCTATGTGGCAGAAGGCTTATGCTTTGTCCCGCCTGTTCTCTCCGCGGATTATGCAGCAAGACGATCTGCTGCGCGGGAAACCTTGACTGAGATTATCGTCGCTGATCTTGGTGACTCCGTATCCAAGAGCCCTTACCTTATTGTGAGTACTTTCGATGCAATGAATGTTAAAAATTGCGCTGATGATGTTACAGGTGCGACCGTCTGCAGATGATCTTACCATATATGAACCCTTCCGAGTCAACTCAGAATCTTCTCCCAAATCACTCTCTTCGAGCCTACAATTTCTGAAGATCCATAACCCGCACCTGGCCAAAAGCCCAGAAGTATCGGCCGTAGAAATTGCCGAGGATGGAGATGAAACGAGAAACGAACCTATGCGGGCCATGGAAAATGTGAGCGGCTATAGCACAGTTTTCCTTCCGGGTGCCTCGCCAAGTTTCATTATGAAAAGTGCTAAAAGCGCGCCTAAAGTCATAGGTCTTCAGGGTGTTGGTGTTAGAGGAATGAGCAGCTTTCATACAAGTGGATGTGACAGAGGATTCATCTACACAGATGTCAATGGGGTCGCTCGAGTAGCTCAGCTACCCGAAAATACAGATTTCGCCCAACTCGGAGTTTCGCTACAGAAAGTGCCCTTGGATGAAGACCTCCATGCTCTTGCTTATCATCCACCAATGGAGTGCTATGTTGCTGCCACATGTACCCGCGTTGATTTTGAGCTACCAAAGGACGATGACTATCGTCGGGATTGGCAGCGTGAGGATATCTCCTTCAAGCCTACCATGGAGCAAGGCTATCTTCGTCTGATCAATCCCATCAACTGGACAGTTATCGACACTGTCACTATGGACCCGTTCGAAGTCATTATGTGTGTCAAGACTCTCAACCTTGAGGTTTCCGAATCTACGAATGAGCGAAAACAACTAATTACAGTCGGTACGGCGATAGCTAGGGGCGAGGATCTCCCTATTAAAGGAAGAATTTACGTCTTTGACGTTGTGAGTGTAGTTCCTGAACCTGATCGACCAGAAACCAACAAGAAGCTTAAACTCATCGCTCGAGAAGAGATTCCACGTGGAGCCATTACGGGAGTTTCTGAGATTGGCACGCAAGGGTTCATGCTTGTAGCCCAAGGTCAGAAATGTATGGTACGTGGTTTGAAAGAAGATGGGACCTTACTTCCAGTGGCATTCATGGATATGAATTGTTACGTGACTGCCGTCAAGGAGCTGCGTGGTACAGGACTCTGCGTACTTTCTGATGCCGTAAAGGGAGTCTGGTTTGTGGGATATACAGAGGAACCTTACAAGATGATGCTCTTTGGAAAGTCGGCTACGAAGATGGAGATATTGACCGCCGATCTCTTGCCAGATGGGAAGGAGTTGTATATCGTGGCTGCAGATGCAGATTGCAATTTGCATGTTATGCAATTTGATCCTGAACGTAAGTTTCAATCATCTTTACCATCTCTGTCTACTTTCTATAATACTAACTCAACTCTAAAGATCCTAAATCCCTCCACGGCCATCTCCTCCTCCATAGAACAACCTTCTCCCTAGGCGGCCACCTCCCAACAACCCTCACCCTCCTCCCCCGCACCACACCCCCAACCATG